ACAATATTCGGGGAGCCCCACGCTGGTTGTTCCTGCCTGTGGGATATTGCTTATCCCTGTGTTACCACAGTGGGCTCTTGCACGTTGCGTTTCGTGGTTCGTCTTGAGGCCCGGTTTACGTTGTATTGTTGTTGCAGTTGCGTAGCCCTCGCCAGTTTCCTGAATAGAGACAGCGAGCTTTCCCGAATTACCTGAGTTTGAAGTCATAAGAGACCAAATTTTAACATTTTCGCTGTTATATATAGCCGTTTCTGGGCAACGGTTCTGTAAACACGTTCCCGCTGCAACGGATACGAATGTAAGAATAGAGATACTGTTAGAAACTGTGTTTTCTACTCTGTCCGTGCGAAGGGGTGGAGGCGGGATCGAATACCTCCACCATAGGAAGCGACGAAAAGGAAACCCAGTGCCTGGGGACTATAACTGGGACACTTTGTTCCTGGGGGATATAAAGATGGGGACCTGGCTTTCTAGGTTCGAGGAGTCTGGTATCTTAGTAAAATATAGCCATGAATCTCGCGGGACTCATACCAGAGAATGACTACGCTGACGAGGACCAGCAGCAGTTGTAAACGGCATACCACTCCTCCTGTCAGAGGGGATGTTACGTAAGGACTATGACCACCAGTGTTCAGGAAAAAGAACAATATTGGTCGTGGGTCTCAAAGTGTTTGGCGCCAAGACGAAGCGATTGGCGGTAAACCACCAGCCGTAAAGTAATTTTTTTAATTCGCTTAGTGAGGTGTGGAGTCCAACTGGGTCCACTCGGCACGGCGGCCACTGATTGGCCTATTGTAGCCTGCCCCTAGTGATTATGATGATGGAGAATTTGATGGAATGAAGATTGGCAGGGGAAACCGAAGTACTCGGAGAAAACCGGCCCCAGCACCACTTTGTCCACCACAAATCCCACTTGACTAGACCCGGGATCGAACCCGGGCCGCCGCGGTGGGAAGCCAGCGACTCACCGCTTGAGCTATGGCGCGAGCCGTAAAGCAACTCAGACTCTGAGAGGAATTGAGACAGTTGGGCATCGAAACTCATCCTGTGAAGAGAAGACTAGGAAGTTAGTGTGAAATGGCCGCCAGCCTGGGAATTAAGAGATGTCGCTATAGTGGAGTTAACAGTTCACAAGAGTTGTACACGGGCGGCTGTGACAAGAGGACCTGGGTGTGAGAAGCTTAAGAATCTCCACTGTTGGGAACTGTTGCCAGGTAGCGGCTGGTTAAGACACAGCAGACTTAGCGTGTGTGGAGATTGGCTGTAAGTTGTAATTACGTGTAACTCACGGCACATCCGTTAGGGAATATTGAACTGAATGGTTTTTGTCAATTCAATAACTGGGTCAAGGAAAACTACATGACCTGAAGGCAAACTACACGGTGATATCAGAAGGACAGCCTTTGAAGTGCCTGATACATTGACGACCGCACACAATACTTTCCCCTTCAAGAACGGACACGATTCTATTTCCTATGCCAGGGCTGCGTACCAGAAGCAAACTACCTCATCAATGGCATAAAGACAATGTCTGAAGTACAGGAGACTTTGAGGGCTGCCTCCAAGAGTTTCCTGGTCATTAGTACACACTGTTAGGCCCCTTCTTCCTACACCAGGGCCGTGCTGTGGAACCAGGCTACCCGTTGATGTTAGAAGGACAATGTCTGAAGTACAGGAGACTTTGGGGGCCGCTCATAGTAATTTTCTCTTCAATAATCCATAGAAAAATCCTCTTTTTTCCCCGTTATCTCACCGCCATGTTGTCGTTTTAAGTTGAAAACAGTATTAAACTCTATTCACTCTCATAATCTTTTACAAAACAGCCATTTTTTAGCTAAAGCTTTCCTCAGAAGATGGTGCCATATTTGATTCGGGTTTTTACTTCTTCGGGATTCGCAACAATAATTGTTTTTTTGCAGAGCACTGTCATCAGCCTTGCTTCCAACTTCCAGCCTAGAGAATCAGTTCTCTCTGCATTTGTGGTCTAGTGGTCAGAGTTCCTGGCTACAGATCCAAAGTTCCGAGTTCGATTCCCGGCGCTACCAGATTTTCTGAGAAGTAGTGGGTCTGGAACGGGTTCCACTCAGCCTCGTGATGATAATTGAGTAGTTATTTCAAGAAAATAGCGGCTCCGGTCTAGGAAACCGAAATTAATTGTCGTGGGTATCCATTATGCTAACCACTTGACGCCGTCTATCCGCTGAAGTTGTCACTAACTTCGGCGACAAGCGGCGGTCGCTCGGTCGGTATAATTCGCTTGTGGAGTAAAAGCCACGGAGTTTGTTTGAACAGGGTTGCCCAGTTATACCCCCAGGCATCGGCTTCCCTTTTCGTTGCTTTCTAAGACTTGCACGGTTATGGTGGAGGTATTGTTACCCTCCTCCACGCGGTGAACGAAACTCTTGCCATACATAATTTCAAGACCATATATACAGACTCCTGCGCCCCGCCGTGTTATTACCGATTGTAGATAATAGAATTGTTGGTTTGACCCCAGTGACATAACTTTGATAATGTACTTCATCGAGAATCGATCAGCCAGTTCAGAAGTTGAGAGAGACGCACACTCACACATTGCGATGGTAGTGCGGCTTGTTTAACGACGCTGGCAGTTATTTTTTTATTTATTTTTTTTTATCATTGCTAGTGGAGTGGGACTAAGTCCCTTGTACTGCGGGCACTTCTGGCCTATTGTACCAGCCCCAGATGATAGGTGAGGGTGATTGTGGAGCAGTTGGTGGGATGAAGATTGGCAGGGGAAACCTGCCCCAGCGCCACTTTGTCCACCACAAGTCCCACTTGACCAGACCCGGGATCAAACTCGGGCCGCCGCGGTGGGAAGCCAGCGACTAACCTCTCGAGCTATGGCGCGGCCCACGCTGTCAGCTACTGGGGCTGTGTAGCATCGATTGGCAGGTGGCAGTTAATACTGAATTGGAAAGGACGCGCGAGAAAGCGGTTGTGGCCTATTACAAAGGTATTATCTCAGCGTTTGCCTGGTGGGGATGGACTAGTGTTGCAGTGTTTTTGCATCAGAGCAAATGGCAAAACCTGCAACGTCCTCGCGTTGTCCCTTGAATACACAGTAGCAGTTAGCGTGTTGCAAAAAACAATGAATCATTTGTACTTTCACTGAGTTTGGGTTATAATTGCGATCTAATAAGCCCCATTCCTTCCTTAAGGAACGGGCTTATTGTAGTCGGAAGCTGTGGGCCTGGTCTGCAGGTTACTACCCCCTACCATTAATTACCCATTAGTCTTACCTGACATTGCCGCCATCCAAGACGAAATTACCTCCTGGCACTCATTTCTGTTAGAGGCTGAGTCGACCCCATGACCATAGTGCGGCTGGAACGATTAGGTCAATTGAAACAATCCAATGCCCTCATCGGGATTCGAACCCGCGACCTTTCGGCTTGTAACACAGTGCCTCAACCAACTACGCTACCGCATGCCTCAATAATAATTGGTACTTTTCCTTATTTTCCCTTAATCCCAATTTTTTTTTACAGAAATCCTGTGAGGGGACGATGCTTGGCTTATGCCCTCACGCCCCTCCGGCACTCACGATGACTTGGCCCTGCTTCAACAAATCGCCCCGCCGTTTGTCAAATCTGACTGCCACGTTCGGCGCCGTTTACCGGCGTTTTGCACTTGAACGTATAAAAGAGCACACGGGGCGATCTAAAAATATCGCAGAAATCTGTGGGCCAGTCATTGCAACCATTGGCCGGACCTAAGTGTGCTGGACCAGAAATACAGAGCAGCATGGCGGGCTTCGTGTTGTAACGTATTTATTCAGCTGCCATGGGGACGCCTGCGAATTTGATCATTCAGGGGGCTTTGGCGATCGCACTTCTGCTTGTGACTGCATTGCAAGTCGGCGTGGCGGATACAGATGCCTTCTTCAGTCTGCGGCAGAGGGAGAAGTAAGTGTGATTTCAGGTGCTCACAGCGGTGGTCATGAACAGTTCTATCGTCTGCGATATAATGCCGTGTAGTCGTTTGATAATCAACCGACGTTTCGGAGAAACATGAAAGCTATGCTTGCTACACAGTTAGTTCTGGTTTCGACTTAAGGGAGCGAAATATTCATTTGAAACATCGGTTAGTTTCCAACGGATTGCACAAATCTGCCATATCCAACGCCGTAAGAAACTGAAATGTAATTATTTTGATTTGTTGCATAATCGGATATATTTTGAGTGAATATAACTATCAATATTTGCAACAAGTTAGGAAAAGTACGCACAACGTAATATTTTTTTTATTCGCGTTCGCACATTTTTGGTTTGTCTCGATAATCGAAAATATTGCAATAAAATACATGGTGTTCAACTGGACAATGATAGAAGGGGCGGGACATGTAGAACGCATAGGGGGGGGTGAGAAGTGCGAGCAATGTTTTGGTAGTTAAATTTGATGGAAATAGGCCATTTGGAAGACCTGGACGTAGACGAGAAGCTAGTGACTTGCGACTGATCTTGCAGAAATAGAATCTGTGGTTGTAGGCTGGATTCCTCTGACTCCTGTGAATATGAAAACGAGGTTTTACATTCCATAGAAAGCGCGTAATTTATTGGCCAGCTGAGTGACTGTCAGCTACTCAAGAAGAAGCCTGTGCAATGGAGTTAGCTGGCGAAACAACTGCAGGCAAGTAAATAGGGCTTTGTATAAATCGGACTTTCTAAACTGCCGTCATGGCGACGACAGTAATTTTTGAGACTGTGTGTTTAGAACAGGTGGGAATCTGATTTTGAGCCTTAAGGCTTCGGCCTTTCACTTGTTATTTATTGAACAACTGATAGAAACTGGAATATGAATAAACTGGATATGATTTCTTAATATGAAGGAAAAGTAAGTGTGGCAAGATAATTCGTTCAGTTTTTGAGAACTCGACAAGGACAAAGCTTCAGGGCTGTAGCTAGTGCATCAGCCTGCGCAAATCAGCAGATTTAGGAGATTCTGGACCAAATGACGTCATGTGGTTCAGTGCAGTTTCAGAGTAGAATCAGAATGATGTGATATGTTCAAAGTATGTCACTTAGAGGGATTGGTCGATAGTTAAAAATTCTAATCGATTCCACTGGCTGTTCACGATTATTAACACATTAATAAACAGGAGAACGCAATGCTCCAGTTTGGAGGTCACTCTTCCATTGTCTCTACTAGTTCCAACATTGTCTACTAGATGTTGCAATACACCGAGTAATACATTTTTTTACGATCTCTTAATCGACATTAAGAGTTAAAAAAGATATCTGATCCGAACTAGCAACAATGAAACTAAGTAAGTAAGTAAATTAAAGCTATCCCTGTACCAGGCCATGAAGGCCCATAGGGTTGTGAGACGTCGAGGCTCCCACATTGGAGCTACATACAGAAACTAAGCAACAAGCGTTTGGTTTCATGCTAACGACCTTTTCAATCCCACTAGACTTTCTATAAGTAAATACTTACTTGGCACATTCTATGTATTTAGTTTATGTTTTACCTAATTACACCGACCAGGCAATAAATTCTGGTTTTGTTTAAGATCATCCACCATAAACAGTTTTAGCGTGGCCTACTTAATGCAAATTCTTGTACTGTAAATATTATACCAAAACCTTTACGGTTTACAGGTAAAAGATGTTATCTTTATGCACCACATGCCATTAAGATGTATGGAAGAGCGGAGGTGAAGCTCCACGTGTTTGCCATGATACTAGACTCTTGACAGTTTAACTTGTAGAAAGAAGCTATTGATGTTGATAGGATAAGAGTCTTAAGGGGACGCCGGCACTAATGTGGACACAGTGATGACAAAGATAATAAATTATTGTATCTGCCGGGAATTTAACCCCAGTTGGTTAGCCCGGAACCGGTGACTTTGTTCCTCGAAATCTTGGACCCATTGTATGTATATGTTTGTTTCTGTGTGGCTACTCGCACAATGTGTATATTTATTTTTCAGCATTAAATTCTGGGCTGATGAACTCGGGGATGAACTGTGGTACCTGGGGCAAAGTATTACAAAAGCCACAGATATGAAAGCAGTAAGTAACCGGACTTGAGAGGTAACACTTGCATGCAACTCTGCAATGGCTAATGTGGAGGCTGCTCATTATAGTCACAATTTTAAATTAGTCACAATTTTAAATTCAGACATGACAAGCCTCAGGGAATTTGATACCATCTCTCCATCGCAGAGACCCAAGTTCAGTCCCAGAACAGACAGTGCAAGATTTATGATGGACTGAGTGTTTGTATAATAGATAAAATGTAAAGGTATTATATCCTGTGCTTAATTAGTTAAGCGCCACGCCACATCATGAAGACGTATGGAGGAATGGAAGTACAGCTCCACAGTTCTTGACATCGGCACTAGATGGAGGTGAGTGGTCAGCTTAACCCCCTTGGAAAGAGCCCCCAGTACCCATTGGATAGGAGGCTGGGTGGGCCCCAGAGCCGGTCTAGACACTGTGGAATAAAGAAAAATTTCTTGCCTCTACCAGGAATCGAACCATGGCCACCCAGCCTGTAGCCCGTCGCTGTACCAGTTGACCTATCACGGCTCTGTAAAACTGCCGAAGGTACCCCAGTCAGTATAGTGAATAGTTCAGAGGCTGGACAGTCGGAGAATCGAGGTTCTATTCTTGACATGGACAAGAGATTTTTCTGTTCTCTACAGTTTTCAGAGGGGGCACGCGGTAGCGTAGTTGGTTGAGGGGCTATGCTACAAGCCGGAAGGTCGCGGGATCGAATCCCGATGAGGTGGATTTTTTCAATTGACCTAATCCTTCCAGCCGCACTATGGCCCTGGGGTCAACTCAGCCTCTGACAGAAATGAGTACCAGGAATTATGTTCCTGTGCAGTAAAGCGCGGCCGGCGCGTAAGGCTGACAACCTTACCGCCATCTTTGAGCCGATTGTCTAAATAATGTGGGACCCTCAACGTCTCACAATCCTATGGGCCTTCATGGCCTGTTACAGGGATAACTTTGCTTTTTTTACCTTTTTATAGTTTTCAGAGGAGCCAACCCAACCTCCCATGTAGTGGGTACATTCATTTCCCGGAGGTGAAGGGGCAGGGTGTGAAGCTGACAAGTCACCTCCATGTAGTGCGTATGATATGAATACATGGATCTGTACCTTCACTCCTCCCTACAGCATCAGGGCTTGATGCTTAATTAGTCGAGCACAAAGAGTTAGGAACCAACATCCTACGTTCTCCTTTTAGAAATGGCCAGCCTGTGTGTCAAGGACAGCTTTATGCTAAAGTTTATCCCTATCAGCTGACTACAGCTAATATCATTTTATAATTCCAGCGCTACAAGAAGTTACATCTTCGAGTGCAAGAAAAAGATGGAGAAGCCATATTGAAGGAGATTGTTGACAACGTTCAGAGAATGTTAGATCGTAAAATGGATGCTGTCAGAGTGAGTTGAACCTGTTATCATGAGTTATTTTCAAATATCTTCTCTTTCTTGCCAATGTTCCTATCAGAGATCCGTTTATTGTTGCTGTTTTGTGTCAGTAAAGTTGTCTTTGTAAGCTTTGAACCATCGACGATGAATAAATATACTGAAATCTTGGGTTAGCAGCTACTTCATGGTTGAGCTATAAACCAGTGTTGAATTCAGTGATATTGGTCAGAGGTCTGTGATCACACTGCACATTTACTTGAATGACAACTACTGTAGGTCGCGGTGCAAGGCCCGAGAAGGCCCACCCCTTATACATTCATGCTTGAATGATGGCAACAGAGCGTGGCTTCAAAATTCACGTTGTTAGGCTCAACCATCATGTGACATCATCATCATCAGTAATCTGTCAAGACGACAGGTCCACAGTCTCTTNAGGTCGCGGTGCAAGGCCCGAGAAGGCCCACCCCTTATACATTCATGCTTGAATGATGGCAACAGAGCGTGGCTTCAAAATTCACGTTGTTAGGCTCAACCATCATGTGACAGAATGCCCAAAAAGATGCACTGTGTTTGTAAGTTATGAAGTTTTAATTAGTAGCCATTTTCATGCTTGTCATTTGCTTGCAAACGACCACCTACAAGTCAACATGGGAATTCTCCATATACCATATGATAACGTGTAGACAACAGTCCCACTAGACCCACTTTGCAACCCGAGTGAATTGGAGATAACACATGTGAACATAACAAGAGTTCATAGTCTGTTAGCACCTGCTCACGTTGGTTCCTCGCTTGCGGATTTTCTTCTTATCTCTTCTACCCTGAAGATGGAGGCGATACGTTCCTCCGAAACGTTGGTTAACACAATATCTACACGGCGCCACATCCCAGAAGACTGCTTTCTTCATAGTCATCCTGTAAAAAACTTCAAATCTTACAAGAGTTCATAACATCGTAACCGCTTAGGGAGGAACCCGACCAGAGTGACCAGTACGCCAGTGAAATAACTAATATATATATACACACACACATATATTTTAAACTTAATTTCTACCTTAATTTAATCTTCACCTTAGATATACCTTAATTTAACTAATTATATCTAATACCAACATAATAATAGATAATACCAAGAGTTGTGTTACCAAACGCAATATTACATGTTATATAGTCATATTCAAAATATGGATCCATACTAAAAACAAGTTCAGCACCTAAACACAAACAATACACCTGATGATACCCAATAAGGGTCGAAACATATCATGTTTTTAGGATTTTAAGATTTTAATGTAAATGTAAATTTATGTATTTTTATAAGGAAGTGTTGTGTCAACACCAGAAAGAAAGAGACCACTGGGAAGACCAAGGCATGGGTGGGTGGATAATATCAAAATGGATCTTAGAGAGACAGGCTGGGATGGTATGGATTGGATTGATCTGGCTGAGGATGGGGACCGGTGGATGGCTCTTGTGAACACGGTAATGAACCTTTGGGTTCCATAAAATGCTGGGAAATTCTTGAGTAGCTGCAGAATTGGCGGCTCCTCCAGAAGGGCTCAGCTCCATGACTAAGTAAGGAGTGTTGTGTCAACAGATATAAAAATACTCAATGTATAATGCTTTAATTGTTAAGAGAGGGTAGGAGATGTTTCTTTCTGTAAAGTTATTGAAGACTGAATAGATTTGTATAAGAAGTTTGATATTTCATGTGCGTTTGCAGAAGGGTCTTTTGATTTTCAAGTTGTTAGAGTTTTATGAGCAACTTCTGCTTGTGTTGCAGTGCATCGTGATTGCAGCTGAGGATGCAGCAGAATCCTTTAACAGGACTAATGTACCTGAGAACTACACTTTCTATAGTGCCAAGGACTCTTATATAGCTGGAGACACAGAGCAAAGTGAGAACTTGGATAACAGTACATACACGCCCATGGAGCTGTACACAGATAGCCATTTCTACAACATCCCTGTTAACCTCAATTACAGCATCGTGCATGTACCCACCAATATTTATTATGAAGGTACATCAAAACTTGGGATTACTGAGTTTTTTGGACTTTGTCCATCATCCAGTATTCTAAAGGACACGTTTTGGAAACTGGATCTGTTTCCATCCTCAGGTGAAAGGTTGGGAGGCACCTACTGTGTTGGTCTTGTTAGAAGAAGCCAACCTCAATCACAGGATGATTGACAAAATCCAGGATCTCAGTAGTCCTTAGCCTTACCACCATCAGAGGCCTTTAGAATTGACATCACAACTTGTCTGTATGTTTCTTTAATAATGAGACTATCCTGAAAGTAACTGGAAATCATGAACCTGGCACACATCACGTGAAGTTTCTCAGAGCTCACTGCATTAATTCATCATCATTATCATTCTTCTTACTGTAGTTATTGTTGATGTGTTCCTGAAAGAGTAACTCAGACTATTAGGATAGGATGGTGTAATGATTAGTGAATAATGACTTGGAAGGGATTGGAAGGAGGACATCATAGCTTAATTTAAAGTAGGGTGCAGTTGAATTTTATGGGAGGGATGCATTCCTGAAAACCTTGCACAGGTCAAGACAAAAATGTTCTTATTTTTTAAAAATACGCGCAATTCTTGCTGAATAGCCTTTTTTTTGGGGGGGGGGTGATTTGCGTTATTTAAAACATTGCACATAAAGTGGGACTTTATTAGTTCTTTTTATGTCACAGTATTTCAAATTCACATAAAATGCCATCACACTGCACTGTCCCAGCATTTGTCTGGAGGAAAATCATGAGAAACCTGTCAGGATAGCTGATGTGCTGACTGATATCTAAACCCACTTGTCTTGTTTAACAACGCCTATCAATTGTGCGTTGTTATGTTATGAGTGTGTCCTGGGACTGGTTCTGTTTCATATAGGGGATTGGGGCATGTTTGCTGCTATGATTGGTGAATTGCGAAGGCCTTAACATTTTAGACACAGAGAGTAGAAAACTACAAGAAAACTCACACTAAGATGACCCGCTCATAATAAATCAGAATAATCTATTAGTAGTGTCATAGTTCTGAAAACGCAGTTTTACCCCTGACTGTAAGGGCTTAAACAATTTTATTTGAATTGATCACACCTCACGTCTGTTACAGATGATCCGGTTTATGATACTATTAAGTGGTCAGAGTCCTTGGATGATGTTTTCATACAAAACTATTATAGTGATCCAGCTTTATCATTTCAATACTTTGGTAGTTCATTAGGAATCATGAGAAGTTATCCAGGTGAGAGATCATACTGACTTTTTATAATGACATATTTTGAGGGTATTATTTGACAAACAACTGAATGATTATTTTTGTTTCCAAGCAGTGAAAGTGTTAAAATACACATTATGAGATTAAAGAATTTATCTACAAAGTTTAGGTCAATTCATAATTATGTTAGTATACTAATTATTGGTTATTGTTTATGTTGGTATAGCCATGAAGTGGAAACAGGAAATAGACCTATTTGACTGTCGCAACAGGTTCTGGTACATTCAAGCAGCAACCTGCTCTAAGGACATTGTAATCCTGATGGATAACTCAGGCTCCATGACTGGGTATCGAAACACTATCGCCAGGCTTACTGTCAGCAACATTCTGGATACACTAAATAATAATGACTTTGTTAATGTGTACAACTATTCTGAGAGGGCTGATGAGGCTGTTCCATGCTTCAAGGAAAAGCTGGTTCAGGTGAGATAGCAGTTCCATGATTGGACACTAACAGTTTTGGTGAATAATTCAATAGTTTCAGATATAAACAGTTTTAAAGTTGTACTAAATATTGTTCCAGTCTTGCATCTTTTTGGTTTTCTTGTCTAACATCATTATCATCATTGGCGTCATTATCATCATCATTGTTGTTGTAGTTGTCATCATCATCATCATCATCATCATCATCATCAAAGAGTGTGGCTCTTCGTTGATCAAGCGCAGTCTCAAGCCTCAAGTTTTTTTCAGAAGTTGTCCTTTGTTTCTTGTTACAGTTAGCTTATACATCATATAATTCAATCTATTACTTACATACATACATGGGGTAACGTTCCCACCTCATGACTCAAGGTACGCGGGTTCAAACCTGGCGGAGGTCGTGGAATTTTTAAGGGCTGAAAAATTCAGGGAACAAGTCCTCCGGGAGGGACTTTAAGCCGTGGGTCCCGTGTCGTAGATTTATGGCACATAAAAGAACCTCATGTCTCTAGGAGAGCTCTGAGCTAAATTAGGCAAATTTCCCGCCCAAGTAGTTTCCAATGCCTCCAGTAGATGGGGAAGCATTAGGTACCACTGCCAGAGGAGGGACAACCTCACTGACAGAAAGGGACTAATTATCAGATACCACTGCCAGTAGAAGGCCGAAACCTCGCTGGCAGAAAGGGGCTGATAGTGAGCACCAGTACCGGTAGGGTATGGAGACAGTAGAAATTAAAAGGGGGATGCACAATGGACCAATAACTGGTTGCAGTGCATGGGGAAACACACCCCCTCAATACTGAATAACTGAATACATACATACATTCTTACACCCGTATTTTCTCCTTGGCCGTGTGATACTGTAAGAACCTTAGCCTCAATTAGCATGGATTTCCATTTGTACTATTGTTTGCCTTTCCTCTGTGCCTTCTCTTATAGCTCTTGTAAGTAATTTGTTACATCTTCAGGCCATCTCAATCTGGGACATACCACTTTATTCTGCCTTCTTTCTTTCTTTCAAAACGTCTTATAGCCACTCTTACCTGACACATTCTAATCACGTGCCCCAAGCACTTCAGCCTTCTCTTTTTAATATCCATTAACAGATCAAAGTTTCATATAATTTCCGTAGTTCTTGGTTAATGAATGTTTGGATAAATTCTGTTATGCTGCATATTGATATATGCTAGATATGATAGTCATTATATATTTTGTGATTTTATTTGTTATGAATTCTCGCACCTTGCTAATTTTATAATTTATTACTTGTGGCATGTTCTACACCTGTGTGGTCCGATCTATGTATAGTAAATATTGAATATATGAATGTATGGATAAACTATGATATATTAGATTATGATACATGCTAGATGTAAATAATCATTATATATCTTGTGTGTTTACTGGTTTAGAATCTACTGTATTTTGTTAATTTTATATTTTATATTATGTGACATGTCCTATATCAATGTAATCTGATCTACAGGATGAATAAACATGAATGAATGAATGAATAATTATGGTTCTCCAAACCCCTTGCTCCCCTACAGGTTCATACATTCATCAGAAGTGTCCTCACACATGTATTTAACCTAACTTCATCCTTTTCAGTCATGGACCATGTTTCGCATTCACATATCACAGTAGGTTTTAAATTAATTAAATTTGGTACTGGGAATGACACTGAGTGTCACAAGGCAATTATAGTTTTTGCCTATATTTGTCCAACATAATCTATATTTGACATGGGTTACAAGCTGAATATCATAATTTCTTGTAAAAATGATCCATAATGTGAAAATGTTTACAACTCATTTAAGTCTATGAACTGTGTTTGAAACAATTTTTTGGTAGAGTGAATAGGAACAGAATGCAGTAACTTATGTATGACTACATACTGTTGTATAATCCAAGATAAGCTTTGCAGCAATTAATTTTTCTATGATAAATTAACATCATTATCATTGAGGTATGTGAAATAGCAAGTAATTTATTAGAGTATGCCATCCACTTTCTTAATTTGGTTTCTGACTCCTTTATATGCAGTATACTCCAAATTATTCACCCTAATGAAGGGGAAGGGATTCATGAATAACTGAAAGAAATGGATAATCCAACTTTTGGGTGTGACTGGAAGACCATGATGATTCTTAAATACATAAATTTGAAAATGTAGTTTTTAGTATCTGACTTGTTCAGTTATCTCAAAAACCACAAGACTTATAGAAAAATGTATTGAACATGTAATATGTTTCATTTTTCTTTACAGATTCTTGCAAATATTTTTCACTGTGATAAATAATTAACAAGCTGTGCTCAAGATACACATAAAATGCATGTAGGACTTAATGTAAAGTGGTTTTAAAATCTGTCCAATCTAAATACAGATTGAAGTGACATGATACATTTTCATAAGATTCCACTGCTTCAATTGTCAAAATGTGGCCAGGGGTTCTCAACTTATTTTGTACATATTCAGGCTGAGTGAACTTAGTAGGCATGCTTCAGGGGTGTGATGCTCCTGTAAAAGAACATGGATAAGTCAAAACCTGGACAGTTCATTCATGAGTAGCCCGGAATGTACTGTAATTATAGTTTGTGTTGTTTCCAAAACTACTGCAGTGGCTTCTAAATAATAATACCTCCATTTTCTCATTTGTGCATATGCATGTATCCATAGATGGCAGAAGGTATGTGATTCTGTGTCATTTATTCCAGGCTACATTGGAAAATGTGAACGCACTGAAAGCTGCAGTTGAGGATATTAGGCCGGAAGGTTATGCAAATCTGACTCATGCATTTACTAAAGCTTTTCAACTACTGGAAAGGGTAAGACAGACAGTATCTCTCATAACAGAGTAATCAGATGTTACTAAGGAAAATCAATGGCTCCACACTTTCTACAGTAGGTTATTTGAGAAACTGTAACTAACAGATTGCAGACATTAATTGATAATAGCATAGACTGTACTGGTTATGATTTTGGAATTTTATGATGATCTTTTGTAGTTAAGATCTAAAAGTTTGGCACTATGGTATATTGCTACAAGTATTATATTTTTGGACATTTAAACATGGACACTTAGGGCAGTAGATCAGAAACATCTGGAAAGTTTCGAAATGTGGTGTTGGAGAAGGATGGAGAAGATCAGTTGGACCGATTATGTGAGAAATGAAGAAGTGTTAATTAGAGTCAGTGAGCAGAGGAATATCCTACACGAAATAAGAAAACGGAAGGCTAATTGGATTGGTCATGTTTTACGCAGAAACTGCCTTCTAAAAGAAGTTATTGAAGGAAAGATAGAGGGGCGGATAGAAGTGACAAGAAGACGAGGAAGAAGACGTAAGAAGATGCTGGATGACCTTGGGGACAGAAGAGGATACTGTCATTTGAAGGAGAAAGCTCTAGATCGCATTAAATGGAGGAATTGTTTTGGAAGAGACTGTGGACCTGTCGTCTTGACAGATTACTGATGATGATGATGATCCATCACCCTGGCTATTGTCTAAAAAACCGTCCTGTTTCTTATTTAAAACACCTGAGGACGGGGACAAAAACCAGTCTCAGAAACCTGTTTTAAATAAGAAACAGGACAGGTTTTTAGACAATAGCCAGGGCGATGGATAATGTCCAAAAACATAATACTTATATCTTTCATAGTACTTGACACAGCATATGATAAATTCATGTGCCCTCTCTCATAAATAATGTAATTATTTAAATAACATTGAGACTACTTGGTGTCATAGCTTCAGGATACAGTTTGTGTTAGCTATGTGGTGAAGGTCAACAGGAGAGTAGAGTGTGAAAAACTGACAGTCAGCTGAAGATGTCGTGATATGACACTATGTGGTCTCGTAGAATGTTAAACGTTTTGGAGGGAGAACACCAGACTACATAGCATCATATCCCAGAAGGCAGTAATATTCACAGTTGCCTCTGTGAGAATCTCAGATCTCACTGGCTTTCCTCTGTTCCTTGGCTGTAAATGTTGCCCTGCAGTCATGAAGTTTCATAAGCAGGGCTGGAAATAAGGGTAGGCATGGGTATGCACTGCCTGTATAGTTCAAAGTAGATTATTTTTCATGTCAAAGTTCTGAGCTGGATGGCCAAGAAACTGAAGTTGATTCCTGGCAAGGACAAGATATATTTTCTTTTCTCCATGACATCCACAAGGGCTCTGGTACCCACCCTGCCTCCCATACATTGGGTTCCAGGGGTAATCACCAGGGGTGTAATACCTGGTGCTTGAAGGCAACTCTCACCCTATCTGGTATTGAGGATAAGTAAACCTGTGGACCTACCTCTGTTCCCCACTTTCTTGTATGTCTTCACAAGGCAACTTTACCATTTATATTGAAAAGTGAAACTCTCGTGAACCTGTGTTTCTTTACCAGTATCGAGAACTGAGAGGCTGCAATAACTCCAGCTCTGGCATGCAGTGTAACCAAGCCATCATGCTGGTGACAGATGGAGTTACAGGAAATCACACTGAGGTATTTCAGGCCTGGAACTGGGATGAAAATGGCACACACATTCCAGTACGTGTGTTCACTTTCCTGGTAGGACAAGAAGTGACCAAGGTGCGAGAGATTCAGTGGATGGCTTGCCTCAACAGAGGTTAGAATAGTAAAGCAGTTCTAATAATCTGTATCTTGCTGTGTAGTGTTGTGTCATTGTTATGTGCTTTGTTCTTACTGTTGACAACCACAAGTATGCTTATTTAGCATAATGCTTTCTAAGAGTGTCCACAAACATTCAGAGTACCTGTTCACTCTGTCCATTCTTCTGTAGATGTGTAACAGCTTGAGAACTAGTGACTGCAGTTTCATGAGGTTTTGTATTGGAGTGGTTTACTATAGTTTGTTGAAATATTTGACTTCTAGTTGAAATCAGACAAAAGTAACAACTACTGTATGTGAAGACTTGCACTTGTTTCTGTGTACATCTTGAGCATAACCTGTTGAGTATTCATCAGAGTAAAAATTGTTTTGAGCAAAAGTTGTAGAGAAAAATAAAGCATGAATTTTATGTTCATTGTAACTGATATTAAAGTATGACAATTTATAGTACATATAAAGGCATCATACAGAATTGAAACTGAACTGAACTGGGTTGTTAAACAATTTAAATAGGCCAAAATGATTAAGTTTTAATTAAGACGTTCGAATTTTTTAAAATAATAGTATACAGACTTATTACTTTTATACTGCTTTTATTTACTTTATGAAAATGGCATGGCTATTCACAAATTAATGCTTGCCAGTGTTCTCATGGTTGGTTTTAGCCTGTAAGGTCATAGCAAAAATGCAGTGGCAGATTTTGGACTTCTAACTCATAACAAGTTTGCCATGTACACATCAGTTTTTTCTGGCATTTAAACCAGCATATACTGGTTAAAAAAAAGAACACTGATAGTAACAGATTTAAATATTCTGAATTGTAATCTGTCTTCATAGCATAAAAGGAGATGGGATAGCTAAATCACTAAAGTGAGATATTCTGTATGTTTGGAGTTTTATCACTGGCTGGAGCAGCTATTCTTCTATTCGTTCTGTGTGCAGACAGGCTCTGGGGCCCAGCAAAAAGTGGGGGCTGTTTTTGCAGAATATGAAACTTACTTTTTTGTGCTTAACCTTTAAGTCTCGAAGTGCCCAGTTTGTGCCAGTCATGAGTAAGGTCGTCGTGGCCAAAGTACCCTGTTTTGGCCAGTCGGGCATTTAAAGTCCGCTATTGGAAGCGCGCGCGCACGCCTCTAGTAGAAGCGCATGCACAGTCCTAAATACTTATTTTTAAATGTAGTAATTACCAGACATACTTGAGTAAAACCCTAATAGAGGAATTGAAATAATACCTAACTGAACAACAGCAAATAAAAATATACTTATGAGTTATGCCAAAACTTAGCCACGATCCAGTAATTTTATTGCAGATTCTGCAGATATATATGTTAAAAATATATTGTAAAATTCGATGTACATACCTTTTTTGTTGTTACCTGCTTGATGTATATATAGGTTAAAATGAAACTACAGTATTCGATTTCACTACGAATGCACACAAAACAGATCGCTCTGTATCTCAGCCACGATGCAACTGTCTGTTCATTCAAATAGAAGGGGCAGTAAGTTTTGCAGCGCTAACGGAAGGTTTTAGCACTGAAGAAGGGACCCCTCTAGTTTTCTCTTGAATAGCCATCCTTTCATTCTTCTGACCTTCAGTCAAAAGATTCGAAAATCCGAAGGGTGTAAGCAGCGCTAGCAGAAGACCAAATGATTTTATTGTTCCATCTGTTTTATGACATCAGGGACTGCTAAAATTTGTCAAGTGTTACAAACAGAAATGAATTTATAATGCAGAACAACTCTGTGAAGAACAGGGAAACCATTTTTGCAGTACACATCAAAATTAAAACATACACACAAAAAAAGAGTATAACACTTTATATTAAAAATTTCAAATCTTCCGTTATAATATGCGACATTATGTTCTCTTCTGATATAAACAAAGTTAATTCCATCCATTTATTATAAAAATTGAGCTAGATACAGCATTTTAAAACACAACGCTTACAATTGATTAAGCGCCTAACAGGAACGGACATTTAAAGGCACAGTAGCAACGGGCAATTAAACGAGCACCAGCAGCGGGCATTTAAATAAACTCCGGCCTGCTCAAGGTTACCACTATTTCGAAGTCTGGCATTTAAAGGTTAAATATAGAGTCAAGTTAATTTTTATTTGTATCATTTAATCACAGTGACTGTATGTGATAGAGTCTAGACAGGAGATCAGCCATATGAAAGTCTCCAGTGATTCAGAAACTGTTTCCATTATCTGGGTTAGATGTATGAATGACACAGCTGCATGTGGTATTTGTACGTTTGGAGTATGATCCTGGCTGTCCCAGCATGGATCTGCGAAGGGGCAGTGCATGGGTCAGGCAGTCATTGCGGTCTGTGTTACACATCTTGGACTCTCTGACATACTGGCTCTTACTGGTCCTAAATTCATTAAAAGGTAAAAATGTAAAGCTGTCTCTGTAACTGGTCATGGAGGCTGATAGGGTTGTGAGACATCAAGGCTCAAACAAACCCTTACTGGTTTTGCAAATAAGATCTAAAAGTTTGTGACGATGGTAAATTGTTACAATTAATATGTTTTTGCACATTATCCACCATCTTGTCTATTCTTAAAAAAACCGTCCTGTTTCTTTTAAAAACACAACGTTTCGGGAACTGGATTCTGTCCCCATCCTCACGTAAAACCTAGTCAATTGGGTCCAATAGACAGAGCTAGCCGGTCCGGAGATAGGGGCTAGCTCTGTCTATTGGACCCAACTGAGTAGGTTTTACGTGAGGACGGGGATAGAATCCAGTTCCCGAAACGTTGTTTTTTTAAGAATAGACAAGATGGTGGATAATGTCCAAAAACATATTAATTGTAACAATTTACCATCGTCACAAACTTTTAGATCTTATTTGCAAAACCAGTAAGGGTTTGTTTGAGCCTTGATGTCTNGAAGTGAGAGAGCAGGTATTCAAGTACATCCCTGTGATGGCACGCCCTCTGGTCCTGCAAGGAACAGTGCACCCAACAGTATGGACGCCTGCATACGCCGACACAACCGTGAGTTTACATAGCACACAAATATGAATTCCGTACTTCATCTTGTACCGATCAACAACTGTGCCTACTCATTGAATATAAGTTTTTGCATAATTCTGTGCTCCACACGAACAGTATCATCATCAGTTACCGTTGACATCTTCTTCTCTTCCTTCTGTTCGTTGTAATGTTATAGTGTAGATGTAATACTGAATCTACAAGAAAAAATTGAATTGTAAATTTATAAATATGAGTGAAATTTTGTCATAATAAGAACCCATGTATCAGTGGGTTTAGTTTCTCATAAATCTTGCTCTACTCACTGTCTGGGCTGGAAATGGAGGCAGATATCTGCCCAATTGCAGACCTTGTTGAAAGTAACTATTTATGTTGGCTTAAGCCATTCCCAAAAACAAGACAAGCAGGAACGAATCCCCTGTAAATGTATCACTGTTTGTGCAGCAGTACCATTGATAATCATTGCTATGCTTTTCAGCTGATGCCTGAGCTCATTATTAGTCCAGAGGAGGCATTTCCACTCACCTCATTGTACATAATCAACTTCATGTTAACCTCTGTAATACATACAGCTTTGTTAAATGAGTAAGAAAACTAACCACTGTCACTGATATTCATCCAGAATTTGTTACGGAAGCTGTCTGTGTTGCTGTAAATAAATTTGATTCTGTTTGTATGTATATTCAGTAACAAAAATTATGAGATCATTTATCTTGTATTATTGTGATCATTTTGTAGTGTAATATGAAACTTCAGTATATGTAAATAAACGTGAACAATTATTATGATATAACAATGAAATATTGTACCTAACATTTAAACCTTTCAAGCCTGAAATTTGTTTAAATAATAATTCAAAATTCACTTCTAACTTCACAGAAAATACACCAGGCCTTCATTGCTAAGATTGATTGGTTACTACTGTTTAGGTAAATAATAATTGGTATTTGTTCTGAGATTCATATAAAAACCATAAATTCACTCTGTTGACAAAATGCAGCCTCTTCTTGTTCAATGGGGTACATGTATTAACATTTATTATATGAAGTGTTAACTAGTGGAAATGGATGGCAATTATTTTCATCTTGTAAAATATAAGAATGAAACTAATGAACTTTTATGTAAGATCTGAGGTTCTCATAGCAGTGGTCATGAAGTGTTACATCTAATGGGATATAATGCTGTGTTGTTCAGTAAAAGTTAATTGACATTTTGAAGGAACATCTTGCCCCCATCTACAGGGTCAAGGAATAAGCCAAGCAGGTAGCAACAAGAGCCAGAACTCTTCACTCGGTTATTGCATTGCTAATAATATGCTGAAGACCATTTTGTGAGTGTCTGAATGTTGTTCACAGGACCCCACCTTAGCCGCATGGCTATGGGATGTGTTGTATTCTGGAAAACGCAAGAGAAAGTTATCTAAACTTACTAGCACTAAAGATCAATACTTTAGTCAGGGCAAGGAAGATCATATTTATATTAGAAATCCAAACCAGGTACTACACTAATTGCATGCCATTGAAGCCCCCGTTAAATGTCCTTAGCAAAACCTGAGTTTCACAGGACTGAGCTGTGTTATGCACATCGTGTCTTGGTGTAACTGCATTACATTTGGCTTTCCTATAACTCTGCATGCTACAACAGAACAAAGAACTTGCATGAAGATTATCACCTTCTATAATTTTTTTTGTGTACTCTGATAGGTCCATTACCAGTGTTCTGGGGGAAACTGCTATGATTTTTCTTACCTAAAGATAAATGGAAGCAGATCTTTGTTGCTCAGTTGTTCAATTGTAGCAGAAGTTAGACAGATATCCTTGCAGTTATCTTACTAACTACCCAGTGAACACTAAAATTAATTTACATATGGGTTTGTATCCTGTGGCACTTTACTTCGTGGGTTGCTTTGTGCTTTGCTGATTAGCTGTAGGACTTTTGTAATCCCACAGTTATTGGTTATACCTTCCTGTGTTGATTGAAGTGTTGCCTTGTTACATCTGTTTCAGTAATGTGTATTAGTGATGCTTGACAGTGATTTGCAGTAGACTGTAGATCTTCTCACATTGTTGTAACTTATTGCTTTCTGTGCTGGTCTTCTACTGGTGAACAAGGATTAATTTCCTATATTGGGAAGATAGTCACTCACTCTTTAGTGACTAGTACAACAACCAGTAGATTGTATGGTCCACAGTTTATTACAGGTTTTAACCTACACATAATTCATTAGATTCTCTGTGGTTTTAGTCCTCAAGCGAACTATACCAACTGAACGACCACTGCTTGTTGGCGAAGTTAGTGCCAACTTTAGCGGATAGAGGGTGATACTGGTATTTATATTATCTGTTGTTTTTAAGTATCCTCACTATTTATCCCTCCATTACTACAGATGATCAAGACTTCACTGTGCTTGCTGTTATATGCAACAAAAGAATAGCAAGTGCTAGCCATTTATGTTCAGTACATACAACTTTTTCACTTGTTAGATTCTGATTTTTTGTAAATACAAATTTTTCTCTTGTTAGCCTTTTATGTTCTGTACATACAGCTATCTTTTGTTGGCCTTTTTATGTTCTGTACACAAAACTGTTCTCTTGTTAGTCTCTAATTTTCTGTATGTACAGGTTTTTCTGTTGTTGGCCTTTTGTGTTCTGTATACAAAATTTTCTCTTGTTAGCCTTTTATGTTCTGTACATACAACTTCTTTTCTTGTTGGCGTTTTGTGTTCTGTATATACAATTTTTTTTCACACTGATGTCCTGTAATCTTGGTTAAGAGACTATTATAAAAAATTGACCAGCAATATAAATGTTCAAGACTGTACTATTTAAAATAACAACCATGCACAATTGGCAGTTTGTCCTGTGTTAGTTTGTGTCCATGCAGTATGTTGTTATATTGTAACTAATGTTCCTTTTTGCCATGCAGAGAAGTGGCGATGCAGATCCCCAACTACAGGAATACCGCATCATGGTGTCCATTGCTGTGCCTACATTTGACAGGAAGCTCAACAGTTATGTTACAAATGAGGTAAGTAGGCCTCTTGTGGCACAGTGAACTCCTATTCTTTGTTCTCTCACTTCTCTGTTGCTTTGTAGATGAGATAGAAGAAAGTTAAAATCAGAGGTTTGTACATGACTTACCAGCGTGGTCCTTGGAATAATTTTACAATTGAGAAACAAAAGATATTATAATATTTACAGTTACCCACATGTGAAATTTGAGGTTTTCACAACAGAAAAGATTTAGATTGTCATCTCATGCGTTACAGCATTATGTAATCTGGTATGTGGTTACCACTTCCTCTTCTACCTTCAAAATGGAGGCAGTATGTTCCTTCGAAACATTGGTAATGACTTATGACTCAGAAGACCATCATCTAAATTATGCAGATATATAGAAGTTTACAGCAAAAAAGCAATGACAAACTTCTGTCCAATGCTCTTCTAATTATAAAATTAAAAATGTAAGTTATAACAGTATTCATTATCATAGTTTCTTCTTTTATTGATAATGATAATATGTTATTTGAAAATAACAAAAACTTATTCAGTAAAATGTGTATTCTGTTATTATCATTTATCATATTAAGCTGGTTGTTTGTCACTGCAGAATGTCATGTCATCAAGTTGAGTATGGAAGAGCATTAAAGCTCTTTGTTTACTTGCAGACTCGGTTTGCTGATCTACTTGGTGTAGCTGGAACTGACGTGCCCATCAAGGATATGGAAAAGCTCACGTACAACTACAAGGTAACCTCAACACTTCTCTTGGTAATACCCAGTAGTGTCTAGGGGGAAGACCGGAGGTATAGCTCCATATAGTCTTAAGCTTGACATAAAATGGAGGTGAGTGGCCATTTCACACACATGCCGTTTTACTCTCAGAGAAGGAACTTCTGATACACATCTGAGAGGAATCTGGATGAGCCCCGAAGTCTTGCTGGATGCTGTCGAGAAGAGAAAAAGCTCTTGCCCTTCTTGGGAATCAAATTCTGATTCCTAGGCTCCCCAGCCCATAGCTCATTGCTATATTGACGAAGCTATCCTGGCTCCTGCACAGATCATACGGGCGCAGAAGTGTTGATATTGTCACATTTTAGTGATTAGACACAGGGTTTGGACAGATAATTGGATTTATTGAATGCTTATAACTCATAGCCACAAGTGATTATAACTGTCTTATAATTTATGCACTCTCTAAATCATTATGACTATTGCACACTCAGAGTGTGTTTGTTATCCTGTGGTCGCTAGTTGCTGCTAACAGTGCAACTCAAGACTGTCTGGCTGCTGGTGCTTGTCACATAGCCTTGGCGTGGACTGCATTGAAAACACTGCATTCCCTATTGTTGCGTGTGTATTCATTGTGAAAACGTGCTTACTTTGCTGTTGTCTAGCAACGGCCATCTCTCTTTGTTACGCTATTCTGACTTTCATCCAACATATCACAGTATGTTACAGAAAGAAAAGGAATTCTGAGACAAAATGCAAAATATATAGCAATGTTCAGCTCAAATTACAAAAGTTAACTGGAATTTTTGGTCTTATGTAACTGAAACCATGAGCCAGAATTTTGGAAACAGTGCTCTAACACTTCACTGTTGTGACAATGAAGAGTACAGTTTTCTGGGTTGTACTGCTGCGTAGGATGGAAACAACCTGGTATTTTGAAGCTGACCTTGCTGCCTACTTCTGCTGGTTTCCTTGTCGGCATACTTTTTGACCCTGACTCCTGAAAATGGAGGTGATATGTTCCTCTAAACATAGGACTGTCTTCAAAGTACACAGCATTAAACCCAGAAGACTGCGCTTATTGTGGTCACTGCCATGAGAACCTCAACTCTGCCATAGATATTGACAACATTTAAAAATAATCCGTTAAAAGAAAAATTTCTTTTACATTATTCTGTATGCTGTAGATATCTGAAGTTTTGAAAAGTCCCACTGATAGAATGTTATTCTGTGGTTCTGTTCCAGAGTGGTGTTAATGGCTATGCATTTATTGTAACTAATAATGGTTACATTCTGCTTCATCCAGATCTGAGACCAGTGGTGAGCCTATTATACTGTAACTTCATAAAGTATTTTTCTAATAGGTTCATAAACTTTTGAAACTGGTTTTCGTAAAGAAGTAGCAAACATAGAAGGATATGCCATACAAAGCCTGTTTTACATATCTTTGAATGTTCACATGTCATCTTATTTATATTTTTAATATATAACAGAACTTACTCTTATAGAATTTATGTATGAATTTGATATCTCACACCGTTGCAGACTTCTGCCCAAATATGCATTACATATAGTGGTAACATCTCAGACTTCAGACCTCAGATCTGCTAGTTATCATTCCATCTGTGCGTTATATCCATCCTTCATCAGGAGATGATACAATAGGCCCATTTGATGCCACAGCACCAAAGGATTCAGTCTAATAATATGATACTTGTGACATATTTTCATTTCCAGTTCCGTGGCATTCTCAAGAAGAATTACAACAGTGTTGACCTTACAGAGGTTGAGTTACTGGATGACACAAATGGTCCCCGAAAATTGAGCCCTGAGATTGAAGAGGTCTGTTCCAAGCTATAATTTAGAAAAATTATTTATTTAGGTGCATATTATGTCACATGAATCTTACACCCTCCTTTTTTCTTTCCAAAAGTTTTAAAAAGAAACATATATTATGCATTCATTTTATACACATGGAAGGTATTAACAAAAATGTTTTCATTGGGCATGAAAGGGACCATAAAATGTTAAGTTAGTAGATAGGCGGAGTGAGTGGAGTGTGTCATAATTGATATGGTTCCATGAGAATCATTCTCTGTCACTGCTGATGTGCCAGATGAGATCTGTGTCACGTGACATGAACACTGAATTAATAAATACGTGAAGAATTTAAATACAAAGGTACGTTTTTGTTACCAATTAATTCCGTATAGAACCTGCATTTGTGAATAGGTCAAGCAGACAACAGAATTTTCCATGGGCCATTTTCATGTATATGTACTCATGTTCTTGATCATGAAATTTTGTAAAAAAATGTTTGAATTATGTCGTGAAATATGAAGCCTCTTGGATTGATTGATTCTTATGTTCTTTATGATGCTGTTTTAGTTTAATAGGTTGTATAGTGTCAAGTGCTGTGGGAACCTAAGTTATACGTAGTGAATTGGAAGAAGGAGGTCACAGCTTATTTGATGGTACTGTACTGGAGACAGAAGAAAAGCACAAAAAACAAGAGTGTAGCTGGGATCCTGATTCAAATTCAAACCATAACTTCTTAAATACAAATTTAGATTGTCACTGCTGTATCAGTATCCTTGGTAAAAGGCCTTAGGAGTGAGAGAGAAAGACATATAAGTATAATTGATGTGAAATAGAGTGACACTTGTGAATCACTGGCACAATGATTGATGATGTCAGGCAATCATCCCATTGACTTAATGCTTTCTCAAAAAAAAAAAAAAAGGCATGGAAAGCAATAGTGTGGACACACTTGTTTGTGACAGTATGCTGACTGAATTCCTGGCCAGCCATATAAGCACGCTTCACTGAGTGTCATTTAATTTTGTGCCTGCTGTACTACTTGCCGTTATGAAGCTGGCTAACAAAGCATTCACATAGAGGGTGCCCTGACTTTCTGTATACCTTCTTTTTTCTTGAAATACAGGAGGGAATTAGAAGGAGACTATTTTATATACTGTTCTCTTAATGCATGATAGATGTATTAATAATTAATTTAAGAAGAGAATGAAGATTATAAGTCATAAACTGTTCAGGATTAAAAAATTCTTAAAGAAACTTCAGAATATTCTGCAGTGAAATTGTACAATAGGATTTTCATTAAATTCTAAGCAAAGTTGATTATTAGTTGTTAAGATATCAGTTTTCCATGTAGAAAGCCTTACTTTGAAGACCAGCCTGATACAATGCAGACTTTTCTACATGCCTTCCCCATAAATGTCTCAAAGCTTTGTGCAGGTAAGGTATGTGAGCCCTCTGCTTTGGGGTTCATATCATCTTCATTGTAGTGAATTACTGGAGACCATTTTGATGCTTTCATTGAAGAGAAGTGTAGATTTTTACCTTAACTATGCCCCGTGTGGAGAGGCCAGGATGGTCAAGGACCTTTCCAGGATTCATCAGCCATGGCAGTAAACATAACAGGATTTTACATATTCTGTAGAAAAATTAGGAGTTTTCCTTCACTGAATTTATGTCCTTTGTGTTGTTTCAGCTGCGAAATGCAATGGTTAACCATTCAGAAGGGAAGATGCTGAAGCTCAGAATGAAGTTTCATTATGATGATATAGTGAGTATAGATCATTTTGGATTTACACATCAGGGAGTCAGTGTCAGGACTAACCAACTAGGGACTTATCTGATGCTCTGGTATCGTAGCCTCAACACCAATAACAAGAAAACCAGTCATTGTACCTTGTCCTTAGCTAGTGCAACTTATGAAAGACTTGAGGTTCTGAAAAATTCTGTTGTCTCTAATATAGCAGTATATAGCCCATTGAAAATAAGCCGATGTTCCGAAGGAACGTGTCGCCTTCCTCTTCAGGGTCAAAGAATATGCCAGGTGAGAAACCCCAAAGATAGAGATGACATGTTCCTCCAAAAAGTCAGTTGATTATTAACGGACTACACGTCATTTTATACCAGAGGATTGCTAGTGGGGTGGGACTAAGTCCCTTGTACCATGGCCACTTCTGGCCTATTGTACCAGCCCCGGATGATAGGTGAGTGTGATTGTGGAGAAATTGTTAGAATGAAGATTGGCAGGGGAAACCGAAGTACTCGGAGAAAACCTGCCCCAGTGCCACTTTGTCCACCACAAATCCTACTTGACCAGACCCGATACCCGAAGATAGGACTGTACTTAATTCAGTCGCATCCTGATTGCTGCAAACTATTAAAAAGCCATCTTGATCCTATTACTTTTCCAAGTGGTCTGAGCTTCTCATGTCAATGATCATTATGGTTATTGTCTCCTCAGATGTGATGCCATGTAATCTGGTAAAATGCTACTATTTTTTTTTTTTGAGGAACCTGCTGCCTCCATCTTCAGGGTAGAAGAATAAGCTGTGCAAGGGTAAATGTACACATATAGGAAGACACAGGTCTGAGACTGGGACCTGTTGAATTCACAGTGCCACTGAACATGCGCTTGCATCAAAATTGCGTTTGTGCTTTTCCTTTTTTCTTCTTCTCTCTGTTTCATCTTAGCTGCATACCTGGTAGCATAAATGTTTCAACTTCTTCAGTTATGAAGTTACTCATTTGTTGTATGTGGGATGAACAAGTACTAACATCTCGATGCATTTAGTATTTTCAGTAGCATTTCGTGTATTGCCTACATATACATTCCAGCTCCTAGTTTACAAGATATTTCTGGAAGGTGAATAATTATCTGAATGTTTATTTGTGTGGTTGATAAGAAACAAGCCATTTCCAAGCTTCATGTTGGGATTTGGCCATATTTTGTAATTGAAAAGGAAGTCTTCAAACAAATAATGATAATATTTTTAAATTTCTGTAAACCTTATGGTTAATATAATAGTCTAAAAACAAAATATTGTTAGCACTCTTTGTGTGTTCTTTGAATGTAGTACAAACAATTAATGCATACAGCAGTTTCATGTCTGTTAGACCATCTGTCAAGTCACTTGTTTCAGTTCCAGAATTACTTAATGGATTTCAGTGACATTTGTTATTGCTGAGTCTATGCTATACAATAATGTTCACATTTAATTTTGACCTGTATTGCAACTCCGACTTTACATGAAACTCATTGATTCCTTTGAAAACTGTTTATCATACAAAAATGTTGTAACATAAAATATAGATGTCTTTAAGACCTGTAACTTTTATTTGAAACGTTTACCAATCTGATGTATGTTTATTGAAAGACAAGGAAAAATAATTTATGACAGTATGTAGTGTATTTGTAATGTTCATTAGTTTTACAACACTACATTTATATATACAGAAAATTAACATTGGCACCACTGAGTTATATAAAATTATGAATAAGTAAAAGTAAAGCTATCTCTGTAACAGGCCGTGGAGGCCCGTAGGGTTGTGAGATGTTGAGGTTCCCACATTTTCTAGACAATTGGCTCATAGATGGCAGTAACGACAGCCTTTCACGCCAGCCGCCCTTTACCCACAAGAATATTCCCGGTACTCATTTCTGTTAGAGGTTGAGTCGACCCCAGGGCCATAGCGCAGCTGGAAGGATTAGGTAAATTGAAAAAAATCCACCTCACTGGGATTCGATCCCACAACCTTCCAGCTTGTACCATAGTGCCTCAACCAACTATGTTACCAATTGCCCCAATGATGAATAACACATGTGTATATATACACATATACTTGTATATGGGGAACGTGTTTGCGTCTTGTTTTGTGTGGTTTCTTTGGCTGTGGATTATTGTTATGTGCTTTCCTACAGTGCTCTCTCCTTTTGCTAATAATTTCCAATCTTTCAGAGAAGAGTCGCATTAGAACATAAGAACTATTACTTTGCTCCCCTGAAGAGAACGCCATTCACGATGGGACTCTCCCTACCAGATAAATATGGAATGTACTACATCAAAGCAGGAGATGAAGTTCAGAAGAGCAGACATGAAAACATTTCTATTATCAGTTACCTACAGGGCAGTAGCTGGAAAATCCATCCTGACTGGTGAGTGATTTGTACCAAAAGCTAGGATTAATGTTAATGCAATGGGCCATTTTGGTGATTACTGTACATCCAGTAATCAGTGTTTGCTGGAGTGTTCAGATGCTCTTTGCATGAATGTGCATGGATTGAAAGAGCTGTAAATATGAGAACCATCTGTTAGCTTTCAGACCAAACTAGTGAAGAAGTTTATAGGGGAGATGTTACTTTTAGGCTCTTGCTCACTCTCACCTCCCCCCTCCACAGAATACCAACAACAAGAACTTCATATCAGAACTGAAACAAAGGGGTAGTGCTCCTATTAAATACGATGCTCAGAGGGTTAAACTAAGATAGTGAAACAGAATATAATCCGGAATAATTGCATGGAAGACTGAATAAATATTTGAAAAACATGGATAATTTGAAAATCTGTATTTCTGGGAGACTTCACTGTGAAAGTTGTTATCATTATTTTTTATAGTATGTCTGTGTCAGTAAATAATTATAGAAGTAGCAACATTTAAGTTAGTATATACAGTTACACTTTCATTAAGATTCCTCTGACTGTTGTTATCTGATTCCGTATAACACGAGCTACAGTAGCTATTTGAGATTCAAAATTCTCGTGTTGCTGAGAATTCATAATTACGTTCTTCTGGGATATGATGTCATGTTGTTTGGTATATTGCGAGTGCTGGAAGGAGTGATATTGTTATAGACCAAAATTAGAGCCCTGAGTGAACTTCTACCAGACTATATGGTGTCAGGATCTGAAGTTTTCACAGCAGTGGTTATGAAGAGTTCCCTCTTCTTGGATATAATGCTATGTAACCTGTTCAGTGTCTACCAAAGTTCTGGAGGAACATGTCACCTTCATCCTTAAGATGAAGGGGACATGTTCCTCCAGAACTTTGGTTCAAGACACCAGCATGAAAGCAGGTTGACTTTCAACAGACTACGCAGTGTTATGTCCCATAAGATAGAACTCTTCATAACCACCGTTGTGAGAATCTGAACTCTCAAAAGAATACTTCTTCCAGGAATTCAAATCTGACTGTACTGACTGAAGTTTCTCAACCTTGTTGTTATGGAAACGGCTGATTTTAGGACGTACTGCAAGTATCACCATCAGACTCATACATTTGAATCTCCTGAGGATGAAATGAAGCACTTCCTTGAGAAGATGAGAGGTCGTGATTGGGTGTGGGCAGAGCAGTATGAATATTCTGACAAGAAAGATGAGACCATGCTTATGCAAGATTCAGTCACTTTCTTTGTGGACAATGGCACTGAAAGTATGTTCTTAATATTTTTATAGGTTTCACTATAAAGTTAACTGGCATCCTCTATTTAGCCCTAACCCACTAACTCCAAAGAGCAGGTTAGTCTTCAAGAAGATGATAGTCTCTCAGGTGGTCAAATTATTCCTCATATTTTATGCAAACCAAAAGTTTTTGTCATGTTCACAAGAACCTGCCACTAGCCCTCTTGGTCTTAGGGATCCAATCCACACCCTGTTTCTTTAAAAACAATTTTAATATTATTCTCACAATAATGGCTAGGACCCCAGGTAATCTCTTCCCTTCATGCTCTCCGACTAAAATTCTTTATCAGTTTCTCATCTTCCCATGCTTTTTACATTGTTCACTATGCTCATACTTTTTTATTTTATTTCAGTAATAATATGTTGTAAGGTAAAGTTATCCCTTAGCATCATTAATTATTTACAACACCACGGAGATATAAGGTAGATATAACTCCACCATTCTTGACCTCAGCTCTAGATGGAGCTGAATTGTCAGCTTTATAACCTTGCTGCTTCACGCGTGGGGAAGCTGGGTGGCTGCACATTGTGGAGAAGAGAAAATCTCTCCCCCTGCTAAGAATCAAACCCTGGCTACTCAGTTGTCCAGCCCATACACTCCTTGCTATACCAACTGAGCTATCCTGGCTCCAGTATAAATTTTTAAGTTCCTCATTGTACATTTTTGTGCAGCCTCCTATTACTTGTAGATTCAAAAGGGTTCTGATGAAGGATTATAACACTCAGAATTACTGAGTTTTTGGATTTTGTCCATCATCTGGTGTTATGAAGAATGCTAAAGAGCAGTGTTTCACAAACAGATTGAGTTTTTGAAACACTGTGTTCTTTAGTGTTCTTTAGAATAATGGACAATGGACAAAGTCCAAAAACCCCATAATCCCAGCTCCTAATACTTCTTCTGCCTTAGGTCCAGACATTGTCCATAGCATGCTGTTTGCAGTGATCTTCAGTCTGTTTGATATATCTGTATTGTATTTTATGTATATATAAAAAATGTAACTGAACGTAATTTATGAATAACCATTGTGATTAGATTTAGAAGGGATTTATATCTTCTACAAATGTATGTCATGGCTAGCGAAGTGAATAGAATTAAGAACCACACATTTCGAAAATATATGAACTCCAAATCTGTGTGAACCTTTCGATTCTTATTTAGTTCTTTTTTTTTATTGCTAGTGGGGTGGGACTAAGTCCCTTATACTGCGGCCACTTCTGACCTATTGTACCAGCCCCAGATGATAGGTGAGGGTGATTGTGGAGCAATTGGTGGAATGAAGATTGGCAAGGGAAACTGAAGTACTTGGAGAAAACCCGTCCCAGCGCCACTTTGTCCACCACAAATCCCACTTGACCAGACCCGGGATCGAACCCGGGCCGCTGCGGTGGGAAGCCAGCAGCTAACTGCTTGAGCTATGGCGCGGCCTATTTAGTTCTTAGAATTGCACAGTGTTAACTATTGCAATTTTTTTTTTTTAGGTTTTGACTGCAACAGAAGGCCAACAGGAGAAGATGAATATTATTGTAAGTACACTGCATGTTTATTTGCGTTCTTAATGTTTAGTTATCGTTTGAAAACTGTTTCAAACATTTGGCTAAATCCAGAGATGAAGAATAGGATACTGGAGGGAAATACATAATGAGGAGCTTCATAATTTGTACTCCTTTCCTCCCCCCTTTGGAACTACAGCCCCAGTGGGCCTAGGCTTACCTCCATGAACTCCGTTCACTTCGGTAATTTGTACTCCTTAGCACATATTATTAGGGTGATCAAATGAGGGGAGATGAGATGGGAAGGGGTTGCAGCATGCATGATAGGGATTTATTGGTAGAAAGTCTGAAGAAAGAGACCACTTGGAATATCTATGTATAAATGGGAGGGTAATATTAAAATGTATCTTAAAATTAGGATGGGAAATGAGGACCGGATTAATCTAGTTCAGGACAGGGATCAGTAGATGACCTTTTTGAACTAAGTCTCATGTGTAGGGGGATATGCATAATGAAAGCAATGGGTTGTAGTTCAGATGATTGGATTTATTGGCACTTCAGTTACAATCTCTCTTAATTAAAATTAATATGGTGCTGTCACTGATTTACACAATTTACAGTTCACCTTTGCATATGCACTAGGATTCTCAGTTTCCACTAGTCATCTCCTGGGAACAGATCTCAACACAGAAATTAGCACTTCAAATCACTGTGAGGTGAACTTATGCATTCTGATTCAGTCCAGTTTCACAGGAGGATTAAGTGACTCATCTGAAAAAGGGAACTCACTGTTATGTTAACCTCATGTTGATTCCTGAGTCTCCTAGTGGTCTCTTTCCTCGAGGTTTCTCATGTATGTATGTTAGATTCATAAGCGCCCCCCCCCATTATGTTTAATTTAATCACCATACAATTATTTGGCAGAACGTTTCAATTGTGAAACTGCTCATTATGCATTTTCTCTCTCCTTCCCTTATTTTTTTTTTCACATTGGTCCAAATTTTCTCCTCACTGTTGCTTACCTGAGTATATTTAACAAAAAGTATTGTAATAAAAATTATGAAAAATTAAAATTTGCCTTACTAATGAAATCACTGAACTTAATGATTTATCTCACTTTAAAATTCAAATTACATATTTTTTGAACTGTGTTTGTATGGCCATGAGGTCACTAAGTCAAATTCATGATGTAGATTTATACTGTGGTCTTCTAGGTAATGACACCAAGTAGTCTAGTAAGGTTGGTAGCAATGTCTCAAAAAATTAGTGCCTCCATTTTTATTCTGACCTTACAGGACTACATGTTGCCCTAACCCAAGATACCACAACAGGAATCTTCATTGGTCTGAAAGCCTCAAATCTGATATCATGACACTGCTGTTTGGCCTTTCACTGTCCCTAATTGTCATGCTCGTTAGTAGCATGTGTTGGATTCATATGTTGAATAATGGAATGCAGATTTTAAACTTATAAATTTATAGTTTTCCTAATTAGTGTTCTGTTTTACGTGGTTCCGTCCACATTTTATCATTGTTACATTCTGTCCATCCATTTGTGACATGAACGAATTATAACAACTTTTTGTAATACGGCTGTTATTCTTGTTTCTCTCATAAGGTGACAGGGAACTTGTGCAGTTATTCGTATTTGATGCAAGAGTTACGAAGCCTTTCTTCAGTGGGGAAAAATTGACAGATCTCGAGTAAGTAGTCCTGACTTCAGTATCTTTTGCTCTTTTTGTTGTACCGGCAACTAAGTAATTTGTCTCTCAGTATTATTCAGGCACATCCTACTGGTGTGTATTATAACAAATCAAATGCTTAGCTTCTCATTTTTACCTCTGATATTCCCTTTTTACAGGTTTTTGTACTTTCTTTTTATAAGAGGGCCATGTCTGTCTGTCCAATCAACCATTCATATTCATTTCTGAAACTTCTTGATGAATGTTGATTAAATCTGATTGCTTTGGGGCTCTATGAAACTTATTGAGCAGATTTCACTTTATTTTGTACCTACTCAATATTACCTCTACTTTACATGAATTTGAAACTTTGTAGAACATCTTAAAAAAGACTTGCATTAATATTATTACTTTATGTAAAAAGTCTAATCACATTTACAACCTGTATTTTACGTTTTTTGTGTGCTATATATTCAGACAATTGTAACAACTACAAGTACAGTTTTTGGTTCAACCATAACAGAACACGGTAAGAACTTGTTTATTTATACTACAGTTTGGTATCAAATTATTGAATGAGAGTGGATAATGAAGTGAAAAAATATGAAAGGAAGCAGTCATGGCCTAATTTTAAGCTGCCAACCTGGAAATTGCCTGGAAGGTGTGAGAAGAACTATAAGAAACTTAAGGACAGTTGATATCCTGACTAACATTCAAACTGGGAGTCATCCAAACACAAGTTAAACATTTTACTGCATGAGCTATTTTTTCTTTTCTTTTCTTTTCTTCTTCTTTATTATTATTCTTACGGTAGCATGAGACAGAATTCCTCAGTACTTAGGTCTTAAATGGGCCATTGTGCCCACTCTAGAAGATAGATAGAAGATAGATGAGAGAAATTGGGTATTTGCTGAAATTAAAATTGGCAGTGGATACCAAAGTACACAAGGAAACCCTGCCCTAGTGCCAATTTGTTCACCACAATTCCCATATGCACTGACCTTGGATTGAACCTGTTCTGCTATGATGAGGAAACGGTGACTAGCACGTTTGTAGCTTGGTGTTTCAAAACAGGAAAATGACAGATGAAGTTAACACAAGAACGTTTCCAAGAAGCAGGAAGAGAAACAGAAAAGCTGCATGTGATTTAACCATTTGTATTTTATTTTCGTCCGTTTTGCTACATAGTAACACTTGGACAAGTCATTTGGCAATACAAGTTAACAAGACAAATCTACAGAGTTACAAGCAAACTTCCAACATTTGTTACAATCTGAAATACTTTTTCTCACACATTATGAAAATTTTGTTACTCCACATTTTGCTTACAGACAGGAGATAGTGAAGCTGTACAATGTTACCCTGAAATTTGTGTCAACTCAAAGCGGCCTTACCAGGTGGCTCCATCTTCAGGAACATACTGAATCAGAAGAAGATGCTTTGTAAGTCAATTTCATAGTATTTAAATCAATAATACTTAAATTTGAAAGTGTTAAGTGAGTAAATTGCAGTTCAGGACCCTATTAACTGATAGATGATCTTTTATAGGAGCCCAGATTAGGAACTTGAAGAAAACAGTCTTCTGGGATGTGGCATCATGTAGATATTGTGTTGACCGACATTTCGGAGGAACGTATCACCTCCATCTTCATGGTAGAAAATACGTTTCTTCATAGTTACCACCGTGTAAACATCAAATGTTACTCAGATTAAGAACTTGTTTTATATGAATATTTAAGAAAATACAAAAAAATCAAACTTTTTGTTATGTGATGTCTGTAGCATGATTAACTATTAAACAGTAAATTTGTACCCAGAATAAGTTCACATTAAGGCTAATGTTGTATGCTGTTAACAAAAAATTCTACCAGATTAATTGTTGAACATGATATTACCAAGTGTGAAAAAGATTTTGTCTGATATCTGAAAGAGGTTTAGAATCATATGTTCTACAAATAAAGTAATAGTGTAGAACAGTGTTTTTTAATACAAGAACTGAGACACTTCACAAATTAGGTGCATTTAACATCATATTGAAACATCCTGACCACTAAAATAGAACACGGGGAAATAGTTTATGAGAATATGAATTGATGTAGCTGAGTTAAGACACAAGTTCAGTGGAGGGGGTTGATATTATGTGCAGTTACTCTTGGTTTGTATTACCAGTGAATTCCAGTTAACGAGTCAGACAGTTAAATAATGTGTTAATATTTTTTGTTTATGCTAAATTTTCATGATGTTTACTATCAGAAATATGCTGGCCTGTTATGATATTGTTATATTTTGCAGGGACTTCGGTGACCTTCATACAGATTCCATTGATGAACCATACTACAGGAGTGCAGTTTTGCATTATGGGACTGATCCAGCATCATATGTCTTTTCAGTGCCATTTGATGCAGGTAACCACTTGCTGTATGTTGCTGCCTCGTCACCAGAATGCAGGGCAAAATCATGACATAAGGATCACTAACAGATGTTTTGAAAATGTGGCACAATTCAGATATTTGGGAATGACTAAAACAAATTGGAACCTAATTCAGGAGGAAATTAGGGGGAGATTAAATTCAGGTAATGCTTGCTACCATTCAGTCCAGAAACTTCCGTCTACTCGTCTGCTGCTTAAAAACAAAAATCATACTATAGAAAACTGTAATTTTGTCTGTGGTTCTGTATGGGTGTGAAACTTGGCCTCTAACATTAAGGGAGGAAGATAGACTGAGGGTTTTTGAGAACAGGGTGTTGAGAATATTTGGACCGAAGAGAGATAAATTGATGGAGGTTGGAGAAAGCTACATAATGAGGAACTTCATAACTTGTACTCTTCTCCGAGTAAAATTAGAATGATAAAGTGAAGGAGGATGAGATAGGCGAGGCAGGTAGCACGAATTGGGGAGAAGAGGAATGCAGATAGGATATTGGTGGGAAAACCAGAAGGAACTGACATTTGGAAATCTTCAGAAGTAGCTGTGGAGCAATGTGCACTGAGAATTTTCCCATTTAGGAAGCAACTATAAATTAGGGTGCACGTTTTTCCTCACACTTTACTTCAAATTGTTTATTAATAAAAATCTTTACAGGGTTTGTTTTGCATGTAAAAAGTTACATGTTTTAACTTGTGTGACCTCAGGACATATTTCTAAATTTTAAATGTGACTCAAGGAAATTTTTGCTTGAGAACCTCTGTCCCAAAAGATATTATCTTCGTAGACACCATGATGAAGACCTCAAATCTTACATCGTAACATTCTGTGAGATTACTGTCTTCTAGAATGCACTGTCTGCTGCTTCAATTTCCTACCAATTTTTACCCTGAAGAAGATAATAATATTTATAATCATCATAGTTGTCTTAGTCCTTATGCTTTAGTTTTCTCCTTGACCATGGCTTCTGAGAGTGCAAATCACTTTAATTTTTTATGTCTTCCTATATTTTGGCCAATTTTTATGACATAATTTATTTTGCAGTATTTAATTGACATTGTTTTACCTTTAACAGTTTTTCTGATTGTTTGTATTACATTATCATTGGCATGGAGTGGCCTCTTTTAATGTGTTTACTGTTCTAAGATGGATTTTCTCTTTAGCATAATTGAAAGTCTTTTATGTGTTTTTGTGGTGTTTGATTGTGTTGGTAGGACTGAGAGATGATGCTGTTGTAATGGCTAGTCATGCAATTTTTCCTCGTGATGGTGGTATGGAGGCACCAGCATCTGTAGTAGGGTTGCAGTTCCAGCATTCGGCATTATTGTCGCGATTCATAAGTATCACTTCTAAGAAAACTGTGAGTAAATTTTTCTGTATCTATTCAGCATTTTGACTTGTACTGGGTTGTGATGAAAGGTCAAGAAAAAGGAGTGTAAATTTTAACCAGTTCAAAGTATAATTTTTGGGACATTGTGAAACAAGAAATTTTTTAATTCTCAATTTATTTAACAATTCTTTTTCTGTTGCATAGGTTATGTAGCATAATTATGGAGCTAAACTGGAAAACAGGCTAATAAGGGAAGTGCAGCTTAGAATAGAATTGATAAGGTAACCTGAAATTGTGTAATTTCAGAGCCTTGATCTCATTTTTACAGAATTATATATTATGCGTTAGGGAGCTAGGTGTTAGCGGTGTTGTTTGGAATGAAGTGTGAAGTGGTTCATGGTTGGATCTAGTGCTGGTTTTATGTTAATGGTTCTGATACCAGAGAGGTTTTCATTTGAGTCTATGGAAGAGATAATAACAGGATAGTAAAGATAATCATATCGGACAGCTACCTAGCTGTGTGCACTTACTAGTGTTAAGATGCTTGAATCAACAAAGATGTGATGGGTACAATATGAAGTATGCATTAGAGGAACACAGAATTACCACAAAATATTATCTTGAAAACCATAAAGAAAGAGTGCATACATTTATTTGACTTAAGCATAGATATGATTATCATATTAAAATAGAAAAATTGGTTGTGAAAATGGATAATTTGGGTTCTTTGGAAAATCAAGGCATTTCTTGACAAAGTAGACTGAAACATCAAGAAGTGAGCACACAAAAGCACAAAGTTATCTCTGAAAAATTTAAACCCAATTATCACCAGAAGTTATAAATAGAATTAGTTATTGAACCACTTGTTTTGCCTGCAGTGTCCAACCTGCTATGATTGTGCCTCAGAAGAACTAGACTGCTTTGTTCTCGACAACAATGGCTACATAGTTCTGGCAGAGGATAAGAATCTAACAGGCCGGTTCTTTGGGGAAGTGGAAGGAGCTGTTATGGATTCCTTAAGGACTGGCGATGCTGTTTTTAAGAAAGTATCAATTTTTGACTACCAAGGCCTCTGTCTTGATGACAAAAACCGAACAAGTAACAGTGATGCCAACTTTATTCTCACTGTAAGTTCAGTAGTTAAATTATGTAACTTAAATATATGAAGCTATAGTATTAACTGCTTGTTTCTGTGCCTATGAAGCTTCTTGGCCTCTGAAGGAAGAAATTTAAAACATATGAAAAATAGGCACTAGATAAATTTATATTAAAGTGAAATAAAGTATATGGTGGAGGAGAAAATATGTTTATAATTTATGGCCTTTGTCTGGTACTGTGAAATAATTAAATCAATGATCTATCAGCTGAGAATGTGCTATGTATGGATAAAACTAATACACACAGAGATATATGTAACAGTGGTGTTTAGTGGAAAGTAGCAGGTGATTGGTTGCTGGCTTCCCGCCATGACGTTGTAGGTTCGATCCCAGTGCAGGTCATATGGGATTGTGTGATAAAAAATGTCATTGGGACAGGTTTTCTCCAAGTACTTCAATTTCCCTTTTCAGTTCTCAATCCACCAGCTGCTCCACATTCATTAATCATCTTATCAATGCCATGAAATCATCATACAGACAGCACTGTTAAATAACAAGCGCAGAAGAAACTAGAATGTACAATAAAAACATGGGTGCCCACATGAAGTACTTTTTACCTTTGTGTTTGATGGCAAGAACTAATTAACTGCTGCATTTAGGAATATAAGATTTGAAATAGGAGTATATCATTAACATATTGTAGTGTTAGTGACTAGACAAAGTGTTTGGATTGGTAACTAGATTATTGAACTCTTACAAATTGTAACTACAAGTAATTATAACGCTATTGATAATTCACGCCCTTGACTTCTCACTGCAGCACACATCATATCTTCTCAGTTTATCTTCATTAGCCTTTGCTAAGTTACAGATCTCAACAATGTAGATTCCTCAGTTCCCATGCTTGACTGTTAAAAATGCAGATGTCATTAAAATCTGAACTTTGTCTGTCACACAAAAGAAAAACACAGGAAATGCTTGAGAACAGGTGCTCAGGATAATATTTGGACCTAAGAGGAAGAAAGTGACAGGAATCTGGAGGAAGCTGTATAACCTCTGTCCTCTCTTTACTGATGGAAGTGCTGTTAGGAAGGCATTTATTTTAAGTTCTTTCCGGTACTTCCTGTCTGTATAGAGACAGTGTGTGAGATGGAATACGCCTGTTGCAGCCTTTCACCCATTTCAAACTTCTGGTGCAGTGGGTGTTTGGGCAGTTGTTGTGGCTACTGTTTGACAGTAATTTGAGTCACCTCTGGTATGGTACCCAGGCTTCAGCAAGTCCCTTTGGTGAAGGTAATTTGTACTGAAATTTATTTTCATTTTAAACAATTATTACATGCAGTAGCGTAGTTGGTTGAGGCACTACGCTACAAACTGGAAGGTCGCAGATTCAATTCCTGATGATATCTTTGGATTTTTTAATTTACCTAATCCTTCCAGCTGTGCTATGGCCCTGGACACAACTCAGCCTCTAACAGAAATGAGTACCAGGGATCTTCCTGGGGGTAAAGGGTGGCCAGCACATAAGGTTGACAACCTCACCATCATCTGAGCAGATTGTCTAGAAAATGAGGGAGCCTCAACATCTCACAACCCTATGGGCCTCCACGGCCTGTTACAGGGATAGCTTTACCGTTTTTTTCTTTTACTATAAATTCTTATAAAGTTATTTCAAAATATTAGCTTTCTTTATAATTGGCATATGTTGCTGTAGTCATATTCACGATTCATTTTATGTTTCTGACCACCTTGATGTGGCATTTCGGAGTTATTTCCATTTTATATGTGTTGGAAAACCAGTAGGCAGGGCTGTGTTAAGACTTTGTAAGGCCTAAAGTTGTGATAAACATGTGGCACCTGTAAATTTAGTTGGGTGTATATATGTATTTAATACAGGGGATGACTGATAAACTTTGAAGATAGTTATTTGAATAATTTCATGTGCAGACTTGACAGAAGATAGTTAAAGTGAGACAATATAACAAATTGTTGTTTCAAAGAAATAATTATTTTGGTAGAAAGGTGTGTTTTTAATTGCTAATAAATGTTCATTTTATGCCTGGATATATGTGAGTAAGAATAAAATGTATGTTTGTATATGCAGAACTGCACAAAATCGTTTTCTTGTCAACAGTCTCACAGGGGCACCAGAGCTGAAAGCAAGGAGTGATGCTACCTCCTAGTTTCTTTTAGGTTATCATATATTTTCTTTCCATCATTGTAATGTGACAAGGCGCAGTCAGCTGTTTATCATCTGAGTATCATAAGACAATGTCTGTCTCATGAGTATTTTTTCCTTGCTCAGTATTTAGGGGCCCTAAGCTTTAGATTATTTAGCTTATAAGTCAGCCTCTCACTATTTATAAAACTTTATTATTTCTTTATGTTGATGACTTGACTGTTCTGAAGTAAATTCTGTAACTGCAGGCTATTGCATTTGTTGTTTTGTTGTTGTTTCTTGCAGCAATATATTATGACACCTATGACTTTGATGACGAGATGGAATTTCCGGTGGTTGATGAAGATAAAGGCTCCGGTGAAAAATTAAATGCACTTGCAAACTAATCGAAATTGCAGATGTATTCTGGTTAGATTAATGACTCAAACTGAACAAAACTTATGTTTAAAAAATTTGTTTTGAATTATCATCAAATTAACTCTTTCATGGTCATGGCACAGCACTTTGTAATTGGCTTAAAGGATTTCAGGTTTTGACCTAAATGTTTGAGAGGTGAATTCAACAACTCTCACTCTCTTCTCCTGTGTAATACACTACAAAATGGAAAACAAAAGTCTTCTGTTATTCTGTGGCTGCATTTTGTATTATGAAGTTTTACATTTTGTCTTTTGCCCATCTGCAACTTGGGTTCTGCATCAGATTATAATATTGTGTTATGTGATGTTCCCCTTTCCTATATATGATTTTTGTTTTTGTAAATTACTGCAAAATCTTAACTTGGCAAAGATAACCCATACAAATTTGGCCTTGAAATGGTTAATGACCTAAGAGTTATAAATTCAGTGATGAATGTACAGGGCTGTATAGAGTACCTGTTGTAACACTTCTGCCCAGAATACATCATACTTGTTAATTTTTCCCCCAAAGCACAAAGAATCCCACAATTAAAACAGTTTTTTTGGGCATTAGTTGAATTAATTTAGATTAGTGTTTGTTTCAGTTTTTTGTTTGGTTATATCTGAGTTTGATTTGCATTGGTTTGATCTTTTTCCTTTACTAACTATTTTTTTTTGTACAGTTCTGTTTACTTTATGCTGTATTTCCAAATCCCCATTTTCTCTAACCAAGCAAGTGCTAACACTTCTGACCTGTACTGAGGAAGGACCTGGTCTGAATATCAGCCAGGAATGACTGTCCTGGCTAAGGGTTTCGATTTTTCTCCTTGCACCCTTGAGATACCTTCTAGGATTTTCCTTGAGATTAAGCCAAGATTGTTTCCTTCCACATTCTATCAAATCTGTTATTCATGCTATTATTTGATGCTATAATCTGAACTACTTACAACATAATTAAATAAACCACAAATAAATAAAATTATTCCCAACATGCCTGAGGTTGTAATTTGTTGTGTAAAAGGTTTAAGAAAGATCTCTTGTTAGGACCAAGAGACATACCTTCATTTTAAGCTTTTTGCTGATGGTGTGATACATTGTTTAAAACTACTGTCCTGGATGTTGTCCATCATCTAAGTTTATTTCAACTATTACATTTTGGAAATTGGTTCAGTTTTCATTATCAGGTGAACAGGATTCAATAGAAAACATGCTTCATTGGGCACTGAAGTAGAACTTCTCTTAAACCATGGATTTTGGTGTAAATAGTTCATTTGTGTCCATGGTTTGAGAGTAACTGTATGAAGGGACATAGTGGGGTTTCTGCCATATCCTCTTCAAATTAAATTTCAAATATAATCAGTTTCTGGATTATAGTGACGTTAATAAATTCAGACCATAAACAGAGTCCAGAAATAATAGTTTTAAACAAAAGATGTATAGTCCCAGTTTTTGTTGTTAGTTACTAAATGTTTTCCAGTTGTTTGTTCTGGATGTTTCCTGCTGTATGTTACAGATTGATATTATAGCTGTTTGCAAATGACCGACACTCCTTGTCCTTTTGTAAAGTTTGCTTCCTGGTTTGAGGTTTGTTGTTTTGTGAACGTATGCCGAAAGAATTTGTTTAATTTGACATGTCCTGTGAGAACAATAGTACAATAAGTACAGGAAGATTTTCAGTGCTGCCATCTAGGTGAGAATGATGGCTTATGATCCCATATGATGTTCAACACTTTTGTTAGGAAATGATAAAATATGTGGCTTGCATATATATTTATATATCTGTGTTGTGTGTTTTAAAGTGATTGTATTACACCTTGTGAGCTTTAGAGTTCTGACAATGACAGCTATGAAAAGTACTATCTCCTGGGTTGACACCGCACAGTCTGGGAGAAATTCATTGACATTTGGAGGAATTTGCTGTCCCATCCTCAAGATGAAAGACTTTTTAAGCAAACAATGAACAGGAACCAAGGTCCTTGTTTAGCGTATTTTTACATTGAGGATGGAGGCAGTATATTCCTCGGAAATGAAAGTGAACTTCTAGCAGACTACACAGTGTCACATCACAGAAGACAATACTCTTAAAACAAATATTCTCTCCAAAAATTCCATAAAATATGTGAAAACACATCATAAATTAACATTTTTCTTATATTATAGCTTATTATGAAAAGTATACCCTTTCATTTAATTAAACAGCTCCTGGGTTTTTAGTTTCTTTGTGTGATTTGCTTTGTATGAAGTAAGTTCCAGTTCTTATTGGAAATTTCACGGTTTTAGTTTTGCTTTTTTTTCTGTTTTTATATTAAGTTCTACTTTACACCATGCAGTTTATGCTATTTTTAAATTCAGAACCCACATATTCCTACTAGGAAATGTTAGATAAATAAATATATTGAACTATCAGTCTCTAATTTGAAATATGACCAAAGGGAGGCAATTCAATATTTTACATTTTTAATAAACTATAATTTTGTTGAATTTTGTCAGGCCCAAGGGAGAAAGAAGAGGTAACATTGGTGCCCCTACCCTGTGACCAGAAGACAAGCCTGTACCTTTTGCAGTATGAGGGGCTGCAGAAGTATAAGTACACCAGTGATGACTGTTCAAGGTACAGCTGTTTCTGTATCAGATTGCAAGGCTAACTAACTGACTATTGATCTTTCATCCTCACAATCTCCTTTTTCAAAATCCATCTTAATATTGAAGAGAAATATCTTCTGGGATTTTATGCTGTGTTTTTTGAAGACAGCCACATTTATGGCTCTTGGAGGCACCAGGTAATTCAAAATATGGGGTACCATAACTAACTCTATGCAGCAGAGTCCTTTGTATGAAGCTAATTGTTGCTCAGCTAGTCAAGGAATTCTCATAAGTTTATAGAACCTGAAGGTTTACTACCATGTTTACTAGGTTCCATGCTTGTTTGTACCCTGAACCAAACAAATTCAATCCAAACTTTCCCATTCTGTTTCTTTAAGTTTCATTTTAATATTATTCTCCCACCAATTCATAGGATTACAATTGGTATCTTTCCTTCAGATATTCCTATTGAATCTTTGTATGCATTTCTCTTCTCTCCCTTGTGTGCTACATGCCCCATCCATCTCATCCTCCTTGATTTGACGATCTTAATAAAATTTTACCTGGAATATAAATTACGAAGCTCCACATAAATCAATTTTCTTCAGACTTATGTTACTGGGGATGTAATACCTTGTTGATATCGCTGTACCCCAGAGAAGAATATTTGTGTTCCAAAGGACTGAAAACATCTGAATATTTAAAAAATGTAATGCATCATCAGTGTGTGGCGACTCTTAAATTGTAAATCTGCCCTTTTATGTTTTAATGTTTTAATCATATGCCTTATGGAGAATCATAACACAGTGCCACTTGACATCCAGTGACTAGTTCTGTGACCTGAGATTATGCATAACTTACTTATATAAGAAGTTAAACTGACAAGTACACATTTTCATACATTTCAGGCCGCACTTGGCACAACGCATCCCTCACACTAATCTGGTACTAGTTGTGATAAATTCCATGTTTGAGACATGTGAGAAGAAAGTGATGTCTTCACCTGTTGAAATCCGCTACAATGGGACAGATCCTGCTTGTCAGAAACTGTTTCTCAATGACTTGCCACGCCGAAGACTTTCAGACTGCTTTTCGGAAAACCCATTGGTAAGCGGTATAGTGTATTTACTTTATTTGTTTTGGAATGAAAATAATGGCATTTATAGCATTCAAGCATGTAGGAATTAAATTAAATGTAATACCATTATGTACATAGAGTGGTTATCAGTATCTAGCATAACTGTAGGTCTTTCATGTTGGTATTTTGGTGTTCATACTGCAAGAAAAGTGTTTTTTTTTTCTTTCCTTTTTTCTTTTTCCCCACTGAGATCCAAATTATATCACCTTGTGTGACTGTAGGATCCCCCACCTCTCCTTGAACCATACAGTACCACAGCAGATCCTGAAAAGGAACACAAATTCTCCTACAGTAAATGCTGTGAAATGTTGTTGTGTTCTGCAAGCTGCTATTTCAGCGCTTTTGTAAATGTTGTTACAGGAACATGAGGTGAAGCTCTGTGGAGGATGTGCCAGGGTAAAAACAAACATAATCCTATTTGTCGTGGTCTGGTCTATGCTCTATCTGGGATATATGCTGCACCATTAAATGAGGCTCAGTATATGTTGAGAAATTTCTGAAACTGTTTGAAATGAACTGGCAAATATCATAATACGAGGATGTACTCAGTGCAGGGAGCGTCTGCATTCGTTCATGACTTTTAGAGCATAGAGCAGATGAGTGCATCTCAAATGACAACACATAAATGGCAACATATAACACAGTGAAATAAAACTAATTTGTTGCACTGCAATGCTAGAACTTCAGAAACGTAAAAAAGTTCACCAGAAGTGTTTTAATTTTATTAAATATTATGTAAAATCGAAGAGTACTATCATCTGGGATGTGGTGCCATATAGTCTAGCAGAAGTTGGCAATTTTCAGAGGAATCTATTGCCCCCATATTCAACGTTGAAGAGTAATCCAAGCAAGGAAAACACAAGCAGAAAATGGAGTTGCTTATACCAGACTATACGGCGTCACATCCTAGAAGTTAGTATTCACCACTCTGGAAACCTCAAATTCAACATATAAGTATAATGTACACAATAATCTAGAAAATTAAGGTAATTAAATAAAAATAATTTTTAAACAGTTTTTGAAAGTGAGGTTAAAATGAAGATTATTTTCAGAAATTGTGGTAGCTGGGGGAGGAATTTATTTATAGTTCCTCTATTAGATTTTCAGAAAGAGATGATTTTGAACTTTCTGAATGATCACTATTGCAAATGGTTTACAGTGCCAGTCTGTGGCAGAAGAATAATTGAAACTGTGACTGTGAATGAACATAGTCAGAGAGTGTTATTGCAGAAGTTTCCTACACTGAGACAGGAATGGTATATAACACTGAGAATGTTTGTAAGTGTTCTTTATTCAGTATTTTGTATTTCAAAGCATAATGACTTTGTTGTTTGTAATCTTAGAAATTTTAGAGGTATTTGTTAAAAACATGTTCAGTATTCTGTACAGTGCACAAGCATATCAATAAGGTGAAACTCTTGTTACATTTATTTTCATTATGATGATTATCATAATCCTTCCAGCATCATACCATATAGCATCTGCACTTCATATTTAAGAGTCTTGGGAGTCTGAATGCATAAGTCTGTAGAAGGATGGGCTACAACTAACTTCGCCGACAAGTGGCAGTCACTCAGTTGGTATAGTTCGCTTGCAGACTAAAGCCACGGAGTTTTTACAGGCTGGACAGCCAATGAACCGGGATTCAGAGCATCCATACTGGCTCTGGGGCTCACCCATCATCCTGTTCAATATATACTGGTGCTCTTTCCCTGAGGGTAAAGGTGAAGTTGGCCACTCACCTCCATGTAATGCTGAAATTAAGAATGGTGGAGTTATACCTTCACTCCCTCATGAATCTTCATGGTGTGGTGCTTAATTAAGCAGAGAGGAGACATTACCTTTTTATTGGGGGAATCTTGAGTTAATAAGTCAGCCTTGTGACTGGTAACATTATTGAAAATTTCATAGTTTTCCTCAGTCACTGCCCACAAATGTTGGGATAATAGTTTAAAACAGGCCATGATCACTTTCTTCCACACGCTTTTTAAGTCTTACAGTTTTCAAGATAGTTATGCTAAGGTTATTTTTAAAATCTGGGGCTAACAGAGAGAGAACATGTCAGAATTATTTTGTTTGGTCCTGACTTGTTTATTTAAACCATAATAAGATCTATCTGCAAGATTTTCCTCATGTCAGAGAAGTGTCAGGACCACCCAATCCATCCAGCAAATTAAATGATATGATGGTATTTGTTTCAAAGTTGTCTGGCAACATTTGCCCCCCAGATGTAAAGTATAAAGAATAGGGCACTGTTTTGTTAATCAGAAAGACAGTGTACCAATCACTGATGTGTCAAGAATGAGGATCACCGATGTCCAACACCAAACCGAAATTTCAGTAGTTGCAACTAACACGATTAAAGAGTTCAGCATTGCAAATGGACCATTGAGCTGAGCTGTATGTTTTCACATTATTGAGCTTCTTGAATACCAGAATTATGAGTTCATATCCTGCTTAGTAAGTGAATGTTTTGCCACATTTCTCTGATTCCTATGTGATGGTATGTCCTTTGCAACCCCCTTCTAAGGAACCCTACCACTTTTGTGATTAACCATAGACTGATGCAGCATTACCCTTTTGACTTGTATTTGATGGGTAGTCAGTCATGTAACCTGCTATCCTGAATGTGGAGGCCTCCTTCCAATACCTTACCAAATTTCCATTCAATATGATATAGCCATCTCATTGTACGTACATCGTATTGGGGACACGCGGTAGTGTAGTTGGTTGAGGCACTATGCTACAAGCCAGAAGATCACGGGTATGAGTCCCGATGAGGTGGATTTTTCGATTGACCTAATCCTTCCAGCCGCACTATGGCCCTGGGATCGACTCAGCGTCTAAGAAAAATGAGTATCAGGAATCTTCCCGGGGGTAAAGGGCAACCGGCGCATAAGGCTGACAACCTCACCGCCATCTGTGAGCCGACTGTCTAGAGAAAATGTGGGAGCCTCGACTTCTCTCAACCCTATGGGCCTTCATGGCCTGTTACAGGGATAGCTTTTTTTTTTATATTCTATGAACTTCAGACAGCAGAATGGTAAAGGTAATTTTGTCGGTACACATAATTAGTTACATGCTGGAGTAGAACTATAGCTCCATGCATGCTTAACCTCAGCAACAGATGCAGATCAATGGTCAGTTTCATGCTTGTGCCGCATTACCCATCTACTTACTGGATGGCCCTACAACCAGTCTGGATGATGTGGGGAAGAGGAAAATTAGTGCCTGTGCCTAGGATTGATCATCCAGGACATATCCAATTACGAATTATGGAACGTAATGGCTGGAAAAGAACAAGGTTCAAATTATCGACAGATCATGTACAGAATCGTGGATGGCTTCATCCGTCCTACGAAACGAAATTTGCACAGCGCTGCATGTGACTACTGTGGGCTGTGGAGGCTTGTGCCATAGTGTGTGCGGTGAATACTGTAACATTAATGCAATCACGATATTCCTTTGAAACACAGACCGCGTTAAAACAAAAATGCATAACCCAAAAGTGAGATGAAACAGAGATCACAAGTCTGCAGATTAATTTCAGTAAATCTGTAAGAAGGAGGAATGCGTATAGGATATTGGTGGAAAAGCCAGAAGGAAAGAGACCACTGGGAAGACCAAGGCGTAGGTGGGTGGACAATATTAGAATGGATCTTAGAGAGATAGGGATGGTATGGATTGGATAGATCTGGCTCAGGATAGGGATCAGTGGAGGGCTCTTGTGAACACGGTGATGAACCTTCGGGTTCCATAAAATGCTGGGAAATTCTTGAGTAGCTGCAGAATTGGCGGCTCCTCAAGAAGGGCTCAGCTCCATGAGTAAGTAATTTCAGTAAATCTGTAAAATACCATCAAGAGATTAAGACTGCATAAACATTTCTCTTTTGTTCAGAGGCAGACTATATACGTAAGAAAACTGAAATAACATATTACGTCTGTTAGTATTAAATATCTTCAAAGGTTTAAACAAAGTTTCTTTTTATGTACTCGTAAACCTGATGTAAGCCCCTGAATATATGTGAAGATCGGGCGGGACGTGGAAATTATTTTGAATTATTTAATGAAAGAAAAAAGGAACTGGTCTTGAGTTTCCGTACCAGAATTTAACTGGAAGAAACTAGGAAACCACGAAAAATTAGGAGCATGCCATGACATCGGTAGGAAGGAAGGCAAACCAGGCATCTACCCTCTTTGATGTTTAGAATAAAATCAAAATTCAGAAAGAGGAAATATACCAAATATTAATACCCAAAACGAAAATTACTAAAGAAAGTATTCTTATGTCCTGAAAACCTTAAGGCGGTCAGTACCATTTTGTTTTCCTTGGGACTTTTTGTTTCCTTTGTTTTAAACGTAATGGGTACAGGGGGCTCTTTCCCCCGCGATAAAGGGGCCTTCGCTTGAAGCTGACATCTCCATCTAGCACCGAGGTCAAGAGAGGCGAAGTTATACTCCACTCCTCCATACACCTTAATGATGTAGTGCTTAATTAAGCACAGGGACAACTTTACCTTATTTTAAGTGTATTCATTAAATATTTAACATAATATTAAACGTAAGTTTGTAAGCAAATTTTATGTGCTAGTGGGGTGAAACTAAGTCCCTTGTACTGCGGCCACTTCTGGCCTAACCAGCCCCAGATGATAGGTGAGGGTGATTGTGGAGCAATTGATGGAATGAAGATTGGCAGGGGAAACCGAAGTACTCGGAGAAAAACTTCCCCAGCGCCACTTTGTCCACCACAAATCAAACTTCACCAGACCCGGGATCGAACCCGGACCGCCGCGGTGGGAAGCCAGCGACTAATCGCTTGAGCTATGGCGCAGCCTCATCCATGGCAAAGCCCCGGAAAAGAAATTCGAACCCTGGTGTCTGGAATATGACGCAGGAGTACCAACCATTGTTTCTCGGCGAACTAACAATTTACATTGCTCCGTCAGGAGCTGGTTCTGTTTACCCTAAAAACAAAGCAGTTGTCTCTATGCTTTCTAAGCATAGCAGATCTGAGCATTAGGTGGCAGTGAATGACAATTTCCACAATTTGGGTACTTTTCTCTTGGGGAGAGTGTATGAGACTGGATAAGTCCCATATGCGGTCTGGACCGTCTGGACTTTGTGGCGGAAAGAAACTGTTCTGCCTCTAATGGAAGTCGAACCGTGGGCTTCTAATATGTAGCCAGTTCTTTTATGGAGTTCTATTGGCTCGTCCAGCGCAGGCAAGTGTGAAATTTTCCCGGACTGTTTGGGTGAACATGCAGAAAGTGCAATATCCCCCATTAACTGGAGCCAGACTGACTTGCGCACTGTGGGATTCAGGAGGTGGGGTTGCTGACAGACCGAGAGAGACAGCCAGGCAGCCTTTCACAATAGTCGCAGGTGAAATCGATACAGATGGCAAGGATAAAAACCGGGTTGGCAATGGCGGAAGAATAAAGCAGTCATCTGATAATTCCATCTTGTTAACACAATGCACTTCCTCGTTATACTGACAACGACCATTCTTTTGTCGTCATCTCCAAGCAGCCAATCATCCAATCACGGCAGTCAAGAGAGAATCAGCGTTTCAACGTGAGTACCAGAAATAAGGCGTTGAAAGCAAAGGTTACGATGAAATACCGAAGTTTACTAAGTATTGGTATTCCAGTCTTTTTCAATAAACAGTATTCTTATGCCTAATATTATAAAATTAGAGCCTTCATCTATTTCAGTACGATTATGCTCCCTTGTTGCTATCCGGTACATATTGTTTTATGCCATTTTCGGCAAATAATAGACTGACAAATATTGTTTGTAATTCCAGATACTTCGAGTATGTTCTGTCTTTCGTGTTTATATCACGTTTGCAGGATGTTACTTTTGTTGTTTTGGATCCATAGTTGTACCCCTTTGTTACCTGTTGCCATTTTAAAGTAACAATTTGCTTTGAAAATATATAATGTTGAGAAACTAATATAGATATGCTTTAGTTCGAATTACTTAAAGCTGAGTTTAGAGGCCTTGTAAGTTATAAAGTACAAGGCTGACCCTAATAGTTGTTTATGCTCCTTTACGGAGGTACATTTGACCGCCAATAAAGTTTGTGAGTTCCAAAAGCATTCAGCACGTATGAAAATACTTTGACTTTCAGAGAAATGGTTAGATGCACAATACAGCATTCTAGTGTTTACTTGACAATCTTTCAAGTGAGATATTGAATGATAGCTATTATATTTTAATGAAGGGATTTAGTACAGGATTTCGTGTTGCTCTTATATTACAGAGAATTTATTTCGTTCTTCATTTTATTTCCCGTTCATACACTCGTGTTTGGTATTTAAGAGTCAGAATTCATTGTCGTTAGATTTTAATTATGATAATTTGATACGGAAATATTTTGCGTCGCTTTGCGTTAGAAGTAGGGCCTGCCCCACATTAAGTTTAGGGGCGTCGCACGTCTGAAGTTAGGCCTACATCACAGGAATCTTTTATTCTTTTATAGGCTGCGTTTTCGGTATTATATTTTCCTTTTACTTAAAAAGTTTCACGTTTATAATAACGTTTAACTGACTGTGAATGCGAAAGTAACATGATTCAGAAGGAAAGGGTTAAATGGAGTACAAATATTCTGAATTCCTCTACCGCGAAGCAAAAGAGTAACCGTAATTTCGAGTAGAAACGAATAAAATTGTTTTAAGGCAAGAAAAGTGTTTCAATTTTGAATGCGTTAGCGACCCTGCGGAACATGTATTTATTTTGCTTCGTCCGTCCGTCCGTAACGCAAAAACAAACGCAAGAATTGAACGGATTTTCGTGAAATTGCTCGAAAAATTTACGAAAAAATTCCTAACGATATAAATTTTCATTCAGTTCGGTCAATTTTAACAACAATTTTACACGAATATCGTCATGCGGTTCCTTGCGTATGTTGAGCATACCTCGCTAAACATTTATCGGAGGGAAAACGTTTCGAAGGAACGTTCTAGATAGAAATTAAACAGGTATTTTATGTCTTCATTTTTCCATAAGCGTTACAAAAGGGAAAGTCTGCGTACATTTCCGAATCGGTACATTCAGACGTCTTTTGAATATGTACAGAACTTAACAAAACATAAATGCCTGACCTATTTAAGCGCAAGATCACAATTAAGAAACAAGAAGTTCCAGGAAGAACTAACCTCCTACTTTCTTTTGACACGATACTGGCCGCATAGAAAACAACGCGTCTATCAACTCTTCTAGTGCTGCGTCTGTATTCGTCGCAGCGGTAAGGCTTTTTACTGAGCCGTTGCTTAGCAACGATAATGGGGTGGTTCAAATACAGACACACAGACTAATGGGACGGATGTATGAAGTACACGGTTGAGATGGGTTCAGCTGCCCTGATATACGTACCAAACTTCATAGAGATTGATTCTGACATTCAAAATGTAATGGGGGGGGGGGCAATATACAGACAGTGTGGAGACTGCATAAGCCTACTTTTAATTTTCTTCAGAATAAGAAAATAGGCTAAAAAGTTCTTGATTGAATTTTGACTTTATTTTTTTAATGTAGAGCTCCATTCCAGTACGACTCTCAAAGGCACATTACACAATGTATCTATTACATACTATCATGACTGAACTTCTTCGCGGTTTTTTTCAGTCCGTCCAGGAAAATGCCACGATGGAATCTTTCCACTTCCTACCTGACTCCGTTTTCACTAATTATCCCATCATTCAATGCTATGTAATCTGAGGTACTGAAAATGCCGTTATGTAAATAAATAAATAAGTAAATATTCATATAAACTGTCCGTTACTTTAGTCTATTTTGCGGAAATAACTTTCTTGTGCATAATCCCTATTCCTAATCACTCCCACGTCCCATTTGACGCTTTTAACTCGTGTTAAAGGAAACATAAAATTTCTTTTAACGGAAAGTTCCTCAGAATAAAAAAAACACAGTTGAAAGACACATCAGGTATCCCCTAACATTTGGAAACTATTTAACGCGGAGACAGAAAAGAAAGAAAATCAAAGAATCTAGAACAGGTTAATGGAAAAATAGTTTGCAGTTGGCCTGGTTTCTTAAAGTGATGAGTTCTCCAAGCGTATTAGCTTCTACATAGAATAAGGCACCACTTCTTCTCTTACACCAGTAGCGCTTTGTTACAGAAACTGGTACTGAATTTTCAAATGTTTAGTTATTTAAGTGTTTTACGCGTCTGTTAACAGCGGGACAGCTCAGTCAGTATAGCGACTGGCTACGGGCTGGACGTGAGGAGCCGGGACAGCTCAGTCAGTATAGCGACTGGCTACGGGCTGGACGTGAGGAGCCGGGACAGCTCAGTCAGTATAGCGACTGGCTACGGGCTGGACGTGAGGAGCCGGGACAGCTCAGTCAGTATAGCGACTGGCTACGGGCTGGACGTGAGGAGCCGGGACAGCTCAGTCAGTATAGCGACTGGCTACGGGCTGGACGTGAGGAGCCGGGACAGCTCAGTCAGTATAGCGACTGGCTACGGGCTGGACGTGAGGAGCCGGGACAGCTCAGTCAGTATAGCGACTGGCTACGGGCTGGACGTGAGGAGCCGGGACAGCTCAGTCAGTATAGCGACTGGCTACGGGCTGGACGTGAGGAGCCGGGACAGCTCAGTCAGTATAGCGACTGGCTACGGGCTGGACGTGAGGAGCCGGGACAGCTCAGTCAGTATAGCGACTGGCTACGGGCTGGACGTGAGGAGCCGGGACAGCTCAGTCAGTATAGCGACTGGCTACGGGCTGGACGTGAGGAGCCGGGACAGCTCAGTCAGTATAGCGACTGGCTACGGGCTGGACGTGAGGAGCCGGGACAGCTCAGTCAGTATAGCGACTGGCTACGGGCTGGACGTGAGGAGCCGGGACAGCTCAGTCAGTATAGCGACTGGCTACGGGCTGAACGGCCGAGTTATCGTTCGATTTTCAGCAGGGGCAAACTTTTCTCTTCTCCACGTCCTCCACATATTCTCTGGGGCCCACCCAGCCTCCTATTCAATAGGTACCGGGGGCTCTTTCCCTGGGAGTGAGGCGGCCGGCAAGTGAAGCTCAAATGTAACCACCATTTCGTGCCAAGGTCAAGAATGCTGGAGGTATGCCTCCACTCCCCGACACGTCTTCATGGCGTCGTGCTTAATTAAGTACTGGGACAATTTTACCTCACCTTACACGTACACGAGCAAAAAAAAAAAGTAACGCTATCCCTGTCCCAGACCGTGAAGGCCCATAGACGTTGAGGGTCCCACATTATCTAGACAATCGGCTCAAAGATGGCGGTAAGGTTGTCAGCCTTACGTGCCGGCCGCGCTTTACTCCCCAGGAAAATTATTTAACTAATTCCTGGTACTCATTTCTGTTAGAGGCTGAGTCAACCCCAGGGCCTAGTGCGGCTGGAAGGATTAGGTCAACTGAAAAAAATCCAGTGACTTCATCAGGACTTGAACCCGCGACCTTCCGGCTTGTAGCATAGCTCCTCAACCAACTACGCTACCCAGGCCCGAATTGGGGCTGTAGCGCCAAAGGGGAAAAACGTTAATGAACGAATTCAGAAATGTAGAATATGACATATCAAGAGTTCTATCTTCTAGAATATAACGCCGTGTAGTCAGTTGAAAGACAGCCGACTTTTCGGAGGTAAATATCACCTCCATCTTCAGGGTCGAAGAACGAGCCAAACAAGTTCTGCTTGCCACCTGCTTTCACGCCGGTTTCTTATTTGCTTTATTCTTGGGCCCTGAAGGCGGAGGTGATATTTTCCTCCGAAACACCGGTTAACTATCAACGGACTGCACGGCGTTATGTCCCACAACTCAAATATTATTGTCAATTGTCACTGGCGGGCAGACGAGAGAGATTGTTGATTCCTGCATAGGTTTGTAGGAATCATGAAATTCGTGATTTCTGCTGTGACTTCTCAAATGTTAACTCGCAGTCTGTGTTCGAACCAGATACTTTCAGAACAGGAAGAAATAATGAGCAGTAAAACAAAACTTTGAACTTCGGCATTCATCTTCTAGAAAATTATAGGAACGTAAAGGTAAAGATGGTCCCGTGCGAGGGAGGATCACTCCAAGTGGGCATTAGATTGTGAGTTATCGGCTTCACGCCCCCGCCGCTTTATCCCCGGAAGAAAGGTCCCCTTGTACCCATCCGTTAGGCTGCATGTGCCCCAATGCCTGTCCGGAAGCTGCGGAAAAAATAATATCTTGCCTCTGAGGGGAATCGAAACACGACTCCTCGGCCATCCAGCCTAGTCACCCTGCTGACCGACATATCCGGTTCTTGGAAAAGAGTAGGATGTAAAGCAAAGGCACCATCTGGCATCTTCGTGGATTCCTATTTCTTATTATTAGCTTGTTTGAATTATTGTCGCGTTGACACGTAGACCTAAATTCTTCTGAGAATTACAAAGACTGTGTTTAATAAACAAGACGTTTTACCACGATAGAGGAAAACAAGGGACCGTTGTTTTCTCGGCTTCCAAAGGGACAGAACAGAGACACTGAAACGCGGTGCTTTACACCGGAAGTTGCGCGCTAGTACCAGGGCAGCTCTGCTTCGTTTTCGGGACTT